AGCATTTAATTGAGCTTTTGAGGAATAATATATTTCTAGACACCATTCAATTACATTCAGTAGTGATATCACTGATGAAAATAAAATCGATTTAAAAAAATTGATTGTATTATGGAAGCAATTTAACAAATATTTTGTAGCTATCAGAAGAAGTTGTCTAAAAATAGTGTTAAATTATTAAATGTAGAAAAAAAATGTTGTTTTAAAAAGTGAAAAAAAAAAAGAAAATTGAGGAGGGTTATGAGGTATAAACAAGAAATTGTGACTGACAACTGGCCTCATAAATAGGCTAAGCTGGACTTTTCATATCCAGTTTCGTGTAGCTTCGTATTAAATTAATCGATTGAATTCATGATTATAAACAGAATGAAAAGAAATGGCAAACAAAATGAGAGAGATAGGAACGATAGAAATGAATTTAAACACAATAAGTTATTAAAATCTGAAAATTATTTAACTTTAAACAAAAAAGGTTAAACAAATTAGTAAACTATTTCTATGAAGTAATTAATACTCATCTCGAAGAAATGAAAGCAAATCTGTAATGAAAAATATGAATAAATGAATCGAAATCACCTATAATTAAATCAATTTGCAATAGAAAGCATAGTGGAAAAGTGAACTTGAAGGTCTGATGGATATGTACGATCAAAGAATTTAATCGTATTGCGTCATTTCTTATCTTTCTAATTTTACTATTAACGACCGCTCTAGCTTATCAGTGATTAGTGAATGGCTTATTTGATCATTTATTTCTGCAAAAACTGTACAAAATAAAAATTTCTTCAATATTTTTGAAAGTTTAATTATACATATATAGTGTAATGAATGATAGGAAAGGGAATTTTGAAGTGGTGTCATTGCAAGCGATGATGATTGTTAGCATTTAAAGGGAAAAAATTGAAAAATTCATAAATTTTTAATAAATTTCTAGCAGAGAATTGAGGATGAGTAGAAAATAGCAAAGGACAAGCACTCCGTTCAATGCAAAATTGAATCATTTCATTCAAGACCCAACTCTCCGCTTTTGTAAACAACACAATTCGTTACCAACCAACCAAACCAACCAGCCAATCATCACAAGCATCATTTAAATAATACAAATGCTCAAACATATTGATTATTATTTCAAACTTGCTTTACCAATATTTTTCCTAATTCAAATTATGTCATATATTAACGTATCGTAATTCATTCTCAAAGTTATCAATTATGAAATTAATATTAAACTGACAATTAGAAGCTTACTTATTTATTACTTATATATAAAAACAATAGAATGGTTACAAAATTTTCATCTTATTTTAGTTGTTCTTAAAATTGGAATTTATGTATCAAGAAAAGTTTATTTGACGTTTATTTAATTTGATTAAGTTTTATTCGTGGTGCACGAAAAAAAGGTTTATTTAATTTTATTTTTTTGCTGCAACAGCAAAAGAAAAACAATCTTTGATGTTTCTAATGAAAACTTTTAAATATCATATGTGACAGTCAGTTATATTAATATTTTAAATGAATTTTGTTTGAATAGAACGATTATAGTTATTGCAAATGAAAGACTTAAAAAACCTATTTATAGTTAACGATAGGTTCAGCAAAAATTCCATTATTAAAAGAAAATATTTGAGTTTATTGTTCTCCTTTGATCTGAACTAAAAGTTTTCTAATCACTTCTTCCTCTCTAACTTTAACTGACCACAAACAATAAATCAGTGAAGTAAAATAAAATCGAAAGACATTGTGTGACAATAAAAGGATATGTAATCAATTCAATGTTGACAAACCTTTGGATTGGTTGCTTGGTTGCATTTATTGATTCAACAAAACTTCTACACTTTATTTCATGTTAGAGTGATTCGATCACTACATAACTGCTTTGCACTTTGTAAATATCTAAAACTTCTAATTTTAGTTTTACTCTATCAAAATTTGCTTCGAAATTTTTTAATTTTAAAGTTCTAAAATTAGATTTTTAAAAATTTAAAAAAAGCAGTGCCAAAAAAAAATTTTCACTAAACAAAAAAAAAAATTTCACAACTAATTAAATTTGTAAAATGATCAACTAAAGGCATTTCTCTCAGATTAACTTTTTGAGTAAGGAAAAAATTTCACCAATAATTAGAAACGATGATGAACTTGCAAAATTTTAAAAGTGGCAAAAAGAGTTAACCGTAATAACTTAAAGATAATAGGAATAATTTTTGTTACATTTTCAATAAAAATAAAAATTGCTGTTTCAAGTAAGAAAATTGAAGACATTTGCATCATGTTTTTATTCAAAAATATACATTTTTACCATTTGATTTAATGAAATCACATATTTTGCTATGAAATGTAGCATATAATATTTAAACTGTGATATGATAGATATGGTATGATGAAGAAAATGTGACACGAAAATTAAACTTATGCTATTTCTTGTATGAATGAAATAATCTTTCAATATTAAGAAGTTTCAGTTAACACATTCGCAGAAATGGATCAAAACTGATCACTGATATGGAGATATCAGCTAATCTATATCATAAAGTTTTCACTTAATTTTAAATTGAATGTTACAAAGGAACAAAGATTTGGAAGACAGAGTATTACAGAAATATATTCTCATATCAGTGAGAAATTTTAATACCATTTAGTGATTAGTTATTAATCAAATTTACGAAAATTATATTACTGAACGATGATAATACGTGTATGAAATGACTTCAAATTGTTGCAATTTAAAGAGAAGATGGAATATTGATCGTTTGACATTTATAATTTCAATCCTGAATTTCTTCCTCTACATATTTCCGTGTATCGCTGTGATATTTCACAATTATTGTTGTTGAATTATTCTTTTCCTTAGTGGACAATGACTTCAATCTTCTCGACATCAAGAATTCCACCTCTCTTTTTTATCTCTCTTTCTCTCTTTTAGAATAACACAATAAAATCCTTGACCTTATTTGAGATATATGCACAAAATTATGTTTATATATAGGCAAAATTATCAAAATATCAGAAATTTTTTTTTAAAATTTTTCAAGTAGAATTAGTTTTTAAAAGTTTTCATCTTAATTAATTAACTGAAATTAGAATTAATGTCAATTTTATGAGCATTGAATCATTGTTTTGTGTATTACTCATAGCGCTGGAACAAAATAAGAAAATTTTACGCGACATATGTTAAGATATAAAATGAGGCCTAGCATCTTAAATTATATATGATTTTTATCGAAATAATTAAGACACTCCATTGAGTGAGAGCAACAAATCGGAAATTGTATTAATTAGGAATCTTCAATCAATATTGTAAAAATTTTGAAGTGAGTGGGAAACAAATTTTCAGTATTTGAGTATTTTAAGCAAAAACTATTATACGGTATAAATTGATACTCTAACAAAGTAAATAAACATTAGATCGAACTTTAAGTGGTAATTTGTTGATAGAAAAATGCGTAATCTAAGACAAAATCCCATGTGAGGTATCAATAAAATGGCATAATGTTTCATTTTTAAGTATAAACACTTCACTGCAAACATAATGTTCTCGAATTTATGAATTGCTAAAAATCTTCATTGTATTTTCGATCTTAGCTAAATCTTAGCTAAAGGAATCATAATGATTTTCAAATTAAACAGCATTTAAAACGAGACATAAAATCGAAAATGTCTCATGTGAAATTGGTTAGAAATAAATGAATAATTTTTAAAACTTAAAAAAAAGAACAGAAATTCACTATTATAAAAAAAAAATGGAATCTTTACAAAAATTTTAAAGAAAAGATTTGAATTTTCATTTATTTTTGAAAAAAAGATAAAGCAAGAGAGGCACATGAAAAATTAATTATACGCACAGTGATTATCTAAGTCCAATACTATTTGTATGCCAAAGTCAAATTATAAAGCTATAAAGCAATTAAATACCAAATAGTCATCTGCTGAATTTGTTGATTATTTGATATGTTAAGAATGTCAAATAATTGTGGTTTGGTGACAGTTCCAAAAAAATTAGTTGTAAATATTTAATCACAAATAAGGAATTTCGCATCCTATATTTATTTTAACATTTTTACTTATTGGAAAATTTAGCAAACATCATACAAAAAGCATAATTATTGGTGGAAGAAAAAATGTCAAATTGTAAACTAGAATTAAAAAATTAGAGAAATTAAAAATACAGCTAATAATCATTAAAAATATTGTAGCTATCATCAAGAACGAAAAAAATTCAAGATGACAAATATGACACATCCAATTCAAATAGCTTATTTTATACTATTTAAAAAATTTCCAAATATAATCCAAAATGAGCCATATTTGTCCTCAAAATTTTCCGAAACAACAATAAAGTATGAGAAAAAAGCAGAACGAATAAGCTATTATCAAGAAATGCCAATTGAAAATTATGATTCTAAAAGGCAGTTTTTGTAGGATTACTCTGAGATTTAAGCGGATAATGCTAATTTGGAATTGTTCAAATTTGTTGAAAAAGTGAAAAAATGGACCAAATTTATAGTCCTTTTTGATAACCAATCATTTTCATAGCTATTATGCAAACTATTTTCATTTATTTCCTTTTGAAAATAGAAATTGCTTTTAATGAAAGCAAATGTTTTTCAGCGAATCATATTTCAATAAAATGAAAAATGACGAATTTTTCACCGTATATTTAATAAAAAAAAGAAAAATTAAAAAAACAAAGGACAAAATCGCACTAAACATTTGTATATATGTGAGAAAGATCTCAAATCAATGTAAAATAATGAAAGCGAGACATTCATGCATTAGTTTTCAAAAAAAAAAAAAAAATCGAAATGTTTATGATTGACCTTCTCTTCCTCGTTTATATCATTTTAACTAATTACTGCTGATGGAATGAAATAAATAAAAGCATTTTTTAAAAATTTAAATTAACAATAAATGAAAGGAAATTCAGACTAGGATATTGAAAGATCGTTGAGTTGAGAATCAATTTCGAATAGAAATTGCTTATCTGATAATAAAGCGATGGGAATTTAAGGCCAAAAAAGCATCATTAATGATATTAATAAAATGAATGAATGAATTTCTATCCGTAAGCAACCAGCAGTTTGTCCTTCATGTGTTATATCACCATCATTACCGCTGTCACCAGCTTCAGCTCTTGTCTCAGTTAATTCAGCTGATGTACTACCAGTATCATCATCCACTGATGGCAATATTTCACCAGCTATAAAAAAAAAAAAAAAAAATGGTTCAAAAAAAAAAATGTAATATTCAAAATACCATCCTTTTATTATGCTTTAAAATCTTAACCTCAATCTTATAATAATAATAATTTCATTTCTTTTTTTGTTTTTGTTTCTTTTTGAAATTGCTGATTATTTTCATGTACTAATTTTTTTTAATTTCTGATTAAAAAAAAAAAAACAAAACCTCATATATACAAATTGAATAGAAATAGATAATAATTAAATTTTCGAATTATGTTCACACCTTTCATACCTTCTTGACCATCCATTTCATATCCTTCTGTTGCTTCAGCATATTCTTCGCCTTCCTTCGCCTTATTTTCAGTTACCTCATCTAAATTCTCTTCTTGAAATTGATCATATCCGACTTTGCTTACATCATCTTTTGAGGATCCATCCATCTCACCATCAGATGATTCAGGCATTTCATCATCTAATGCCTCATTTTCAGCCACTACTCCACAAGTTAACCCTGTGAAACCTTCATAACAAACGCATTTTCCACATTCACAGCTACCTTGTCCACTGCAAATTTTCTGGAAAAAGAAAAACAAAAATTCCGATAAGTTACATTAAACAGTTAAAGAGTGAAATGTTGATAATAAAGTTTATATCCTAAATTTTTAAAAAAATCTATAGAAAAAAAAAAGTTAAACACAATAAAGAAATAAGTAGAAAATTTGATTCACATACGCTCACACCATAGAAAATAAAACATTTGCACAAAAATAGATCTTTTTTTTTTCATATAAATATTTTTGAAAAATATAAATGTGTGTAAGATATAAAAGATATAAAAATTTGATTCACATATGCATAAGCAAAATTTTTAATATAAAATAAAAAATTTTCACAATTCTTCCTGAAACTTACTCCGCCTTCTAGACATGAAGAAGTATCGAGAGTGCACGAGCAATCATCACCTGTATAACCTTCTTCACAATGACATTTGCCACATTTGCATTCACCTTGGCCTGCACACATTCTGTCATTAGAAGTTGGACATGACATATTTTCACATTCGCAATAATCTCCACGAACCTATAATAATTGAATTCTGTAAAGGTTTCCTCATAGTGCAATGAAAATTTCTAAGTTTAATTGATCAAATTTTGATTCCAAAAGATAGCAATCAAAATTGCATTGAAATGTAGATCAATATATAATGATTGTTGGTTCGAATTTAAACCTTTTTAAATTTCGAAATTAAAATCGAATTTCGAATTCAACTAAAAATACTGCATCCAAAGGAAAAATTTGTCATTTTAACAAATAAATAAACTTAAACATTCCAAAAAAAAAAGAAAAAAAGAGACAATCAGTTGTCCATGCCTACGTATTCAGCGTATATAACGGAACTTCGGTGCATCTCAACGCTTTTTTAAATAAGAGATATAATTTTAAAGTTAGTATTGCGGTAAAATTGATTCAGTAAAACGCTAAATACACTTACGTGTTCGACGTTGCAAACACAGCTACCGCATTTGCACTGACCATTACCGCTACAAACTAAATCTTTCGGAGTTCTAAAATGATAATAAACGTTTGCTTTAATCTTTTCCAATTTAATTTGTTAGAATGATATCTTATTGAGCTATTTGGGTGAGATTTATCGTGCCATGGTATGAATTATGAATTAAATTGAATTTCTATGAATAAAAATATGAATCGAATCTTTTAAAGTATGAAATGCATAATATTATAATATCACTTCTAACTCGTTTGAATTTTAATTATTTAAATTAAAATTTAATCATGATAATCATCAATTCTTACTTTCTACATCTATTTTCCAATTCCTGAGCTGATAAGGCGCCGTGCTGCTTTAAGTCACATTCACAGTGATTTCCACCTTTACCTGGTTGACATTCACATACACCACAAATTAAATCACCTGCTCCATAACATAATGGTGATAGCTTTTCCTAGAAAAATTCGCTTAATTAATATGAGAGAATTTTACTAAGCATTTTATATTCTCTTTGAAAAAATTTTGTAAAACATTAAAACTGCTTTATACATCTGGAAAAGATATGATGTATAATTTATAAAATAACCTGATTCTGCACTTTTTCACATTCACAACCACATGATGGTGTGATATACATAGCAGAAACGGTTTGATAACCATATGCGCCAATAGAAACCGCAATATCGCCTCCTGATTTGCACTCGTTCAAGGATACTTTCGCGAAAAATTCGATTTGATCACCTATCGCAACATTTGGACATTGCCGCCCTTGCACTCGCTTGCTGCAAAATACATTTTTAGCCTTTTTTAAGTTCAAAATTTGAATCAATTAATAGTTTTAAATAAAAAAGCAAAGTAGTTTCATTTCAAATAAATGTACAAATGAGAAGATATAAATGTAAACTAATATTTTAAGAGATATTTAATAATTACATATTTGATAAATTTCAAATTTAATAAAATATACCCTCCGCAAAGAATGGAAAAGTCGATACCAACACCCAATGATCGAAACTCGCTGGTTTGTATAACGAAATCACGCTGACTTGATTGCTGTGGCCTGTGCAGATATTTGAATGGTACTTCCATTATATCACCTGAAAAAAAAAGAATCATTTTGATGAAGCAAATTTGTGTAAATAAGGTAGACTTAAATATCTTACAACTATTTTTTGCTACTATTTAACTTTTCAAATTTCATTTCTCAAATAAAATATTTCGTCTGTAAATATCATTTAATATATATACAATCTTTATTTTAGTACCAACTGAAATTGAAATAAGACATTAATAGAGAAAGGAATCAAGCAGTGTAATTTTGCTAAGTTTTGGAACAAAAAATAAGACAGTTGTAAGTTTGATGGATTTAATAAGGCATTAATAGAGAAATAGGTAGTGATAGTAAAGCGATAGCCTAAAATGAAATATTTTATTTCAAAGATTTACAAAAATTCACAACAATGAATTGTGAAAAGTGTCATGAAATTATATTTTATAGTATTGGTTGTGATTGGGTAGCAAAGGCAAAAAACTAGACGAAATTGAAGAAATGTAATACCACCATGGATTAGTGCAACTTGTGATGGAAGATTTTCAACACTTTTGCAGTACATGTAAATAATTCAGGTAAATAATTAATTGGAAAAATGAGAGGAAAAGAATTGATTAAGTGAGTATAATTAGCAAAGTAACTTGTAGTATTTTATTATTTGATTAGCATAAACTATATAAAAATGATGAGGCAGGCATTAGTTTGTTGTTTTCGGATTCAATAATTATTACTAATTGCTTAATTACTTGTCACATTTAACCCTAAGAAATAAAAATTTTAAATTTCCATCAGTAAAATTCTTTTTAATTTTCCTTACTTCTCATATATAATTGTGAAGAAGCAAAAATTTAAATCATTTTTGAGATGAACCATATTGTTGTGATAAGAATTTTTCAAAAAGTGCATATAATTATCAAAAACATATGTTTGTTCGATCAGATAAGTTGACCAAGCGATAATAAAATGGTGATTATAGTTGTAACATGGAATTTGAAATTTGAACATTTTTAAAATTATTTTCAAAACTGCTAAAATTTTTTCATTCTCGGAAATTTTGTTTAACTTTACTTTTACACAGCAATGATAATTGGTTGCTACTTTGTTTATATGCTTCTTCTTCAGCACTATTTTGCTATTTATATGTTAAAAGTGCATTTAATTACAAAAACAACACACACACACATTGTTTTCTTTTTTTTCCAACTTAGTTTATTAAGCAATGTTTTCTGCTTTTTAAATTAGCAATATTTGCCGGCGTGAAGTTTGTACTGTTCAACTATTTATCACTAATATTTGAATTGAATCATCAAATTCGAGCATAATAATAGACAATTTATTGCTAACTAAATATATTGTTGCTTTTGAATTGAATTATAAAGTTTAAGCATGACAAAGGACGAGGAAAACAAAGAGAAAGACTAAATGATCGGATGATTTGCGTCTTATTTTTTCAAATCTTACCAAATAAACAAAGGATATTTACTAACTAACAAAGAATGAAAGAAAAAAAAGTATGTCAAATTACTGACATTTTAAAATAACCAAGTTCATTTTGTTATATGAGAGTTTTTTTTTTTTTTTTTCTGAGAGAAATAAGAATTTGAAAGAAATAATTACAGCAGTAATTTCTTTTAGCTGATGGTGAAAATAAATTGAAAACGCAAATCCTAGCATTTTATAGTAATTTCAAATAGATCATTTTGCTATTTCATAGAAGTGACAAAATTTGGATGAGATATGAGATAGGATATGAGGTAATTATAAAATTTATGGTTACCAGGTTTCATTCTCAAAACAACTTGTTGTGGTTCGAGTTGTACAATCGTTACACCATCTGCTTGTTTACTTCCTAATGGCAAATTCTAAAACAACAATTCATTAATTTTGAAAATTTCAGGAAAAATAAGTTGGAAAAAATTAAAAAATATTTTATACTGTCTTTAATTTTTGCAGTAATAGAAAAATTCCACGAATTTTCATCTATAAAATGCAATTTAGTTGTCCTTACTTAAAAAGATAAATTGCTATGATCAATGAAGGTTGCATAACTTGAAGCTTCTGAACTAGTTAAGCTGTTCTAAAACTAGTTTAGATTAAAGGAAAAAGATTCGACTTATTATTCAAAAATAAATATTACATTTTGCGGTACAATTCGAACTTCTGTAGTCGGTGAATAGATAAGCGATGGAGCGCATTTGCCTTGAAATTCAGATTTTAAATCACATCGTGATGGACCTACCAAATGCTGTAATATTTCAAAACTTTTCTTCCTCATAATTTATTATCAATTCGAAAAAAAAAAAAAATTCACAGAAAAATATTTATGCACAACGGTTACATTAATCTTAATATTCCCTTAAGGTTTTCTTTTGAAAGTATTTTTTGTTAATTCAAATTCCATTCTTCTATGGCTAATTGACGAATAGCATAGTAAGTTTTATTGGATAATCAAACTTATTGTATTCCTGAGCTCTAATCTCATTCACATTTAGAATAACTTGATATAATTCAAAATTTCATTAATTTTACTTTTTTTCCAATAACTAATTTTTACACAAAATTAAGATGTCAGTGGCAAAAATTAATTGAAATATAAACTCAGCTTTGAGATTTGCTAAAAATAAGTTTATCAGAGAGTCAATCATGTTAAACAGGCAGAATAAAAAGTAATCATGTAATTTTTAACTTATTTATACTTAGCATTTTGAGCTAACGATACATACATAATTTTGCGGCAATTGAAAATTTCAAATTGTATTTGAATATATATTTTATTGACAAAATTCTAAACATATTAATTCCTTCAGAAATTTTTTCTAATTTGTTTTTTTTTTAAATTCCTTCAAAATTGTTTTATTTTTAATTTGCAAATGATTGATGAGCAATAAGCTAACCGGATCAAGACACCATGCACAATCTGGATGCTGTTTAATACATTGGCCACAGCTTCTGCTACCCAATGTGTTGGTACATAATTTCCTCACATCCTTTGCAAATACTGAAATTAAATAATGTTGGCTAATTTCTAATTAGCACAACTTATGGAATGAAATTCATCAAAAGATTACTTACCATCAGCAATAACGATAAATAGTGCAAGTAGCGAGTATATGTGAGATTTCATTAGACGAAAATCAACTTCGAAATATCTGTAAATAACTTTTATTCATAAATAGAATAGTGCACCGAAGTATTAGACCAAATGCGCCGCATTAATATGTTGAAATTAATATTCAATTTGCAAGTAATTAAAAGATGTTTTGAAATATTAACACATTTTCATTGCTGTGTAATTTGAACGTTACTTGTTGACTACGAAATTTGTGAGAAATTAAAAAAAAAAAAAAGATTAAAAGTGTGAAGTAATAATGATTATGCTTGCCCTACTTTTGAATGAATCTCTATTGAAATGATTAAGCTGCTTATCAAAATTCATACATTGTTATACATCTGGCGGTATGTTAGCAAACTTGAAAGTATAACATCCACCGTCTGTCATTCCATTCATTTTAATCAATCTATTATCAGTGATGAAAAGCCGATTGTTGCTGATAATTATAATTTGGAAAGACTTAAGATCTAATACTGATTTTTCCTTCTTTATTCTCATATTTTCAATTTTTTTCTTCACTTCCTATCTGTTAATTCTTTATATAACTCTTTTCTTTTTTTTCTCTGTTCATTTTATGATTTAATAATAATTTGATTATGATTAAATTCTGTGCATTGGACAGGTATTTACACAGGTAAGAAATGAAATTATCAAGCCTTGAAACATCATAAGCTGTCAAGATAACATATTTAACGGATCCTTTGAGAGTGTTTGCTTATGATTTGATATGATGGATTATTGGTGCACTCTGAGTCAAAAGATTGATAAGATATGCTTTTAAAAAAAAATAAATAGTAACCGAATAGCACCAGAGAATAGCAACAATTCTGTTCGATTCCAACAGGACATCTGCTGGAATAAATGCGCCTTCACCGTTATTTTAATTTTTGAAAATACCAAGAGAACACTTGTAAATTGGCTACATATTTATTTATTTATTTACTTATTCATTCATTTATTTGTTTATATTTATTATAATTTCAAATAAACTTTAACACTGGAAAAAATTATGCAAAAAATAAAAATTAATAAAAATTTGTTCTTCAAAAGAAGATATTTTATTAAAAAGAAGAGAGAAAATAAAATAAGATCTAAGTGTTTTATTTGAATAAAAAATGGCATAAATGAACCAATAAACATAAAACGTAAAATAATGCGTAATTTTAAAAGCTGTGCAACATAACTATCCGATAATCCAAAGAAATAAACAATTTATATGAACAATACCTCTCTCTCTCTCTCTCTCTCTCTCGTAGATTTTCTCTTCGTTATGATTTGTTAGTTTTTTAAAAGAAAAAAAAAAAAAAAAACGTAAAATATGAAAATCACTTTTAAGAATTTCTTTTCAATAATATTATTCCATTAGTGTATTATAAAACACAAAAAAAGAAAATTTTTCCAGTTTCATCCTTAACGATTATTTATCACCTAAAAGTAATGCTTATTTGTTCATTGATTGCTTCTTCTACTGATAGTACAAAAAAAGATTTTGTAATCATTTATTCATAAATAATTTACTAAACATTACATATTTAGAAATAATTATGAGAGAATTTAACTCTTGAAATTATGTAGTGATTCATCATAAAATGAAATTGAAAAGATTTTAAATGTTTGTTAAAAGAGTTTGAATTTGCTTAATCATAAGTAAGCATTTATTTTCTTTTCCATGGTAGCGTTACTGTAAATTTAGAACAGATCAAAGTAATTGCTAACAAAAAAAAAAAACTGAGAATGAAAGTTTTGTTGTTTAAATTGTGCGCCAAAGCATTTGCTGCATAATATTGAAACTATCGTTCTTTAACAAAATTTATTTCAAACAAAGTTTACATTAAAATGTTTCGTAATAAGAAAAATAATCGTGAAAAAAGAAATTTTCCATTCAAAAATGATTTGAAACACATTGTACAATTACTAGTGAATCACTTTCCCTCACATTGATAGTTTCAGAGAGAATATGAATTCCGTCAAATTGTAAAAATTTAAACAGCAAAAAGGAATACATGAATACTATGACAACTTAAGTGAGATAGAAATATCATTTATTTTATTTCAAATCATAACCAACTTATATTAATTTCATAAATTTCAATTATTGCATTCGTATTTCACATAAAATAGTAAAATTTTTAAAACTTCTCAAAAAATGAAAAAATAGAACAAATTATTAATTCAGCAGAAGAAGTTATCAAAATCTATATTACCTCAAGGAAAATTTTTCAACCATTTAAGAAAAATTATAACAGTAAAACTAATTATTATTAGCTTTTGTTATAATTTATAAGTTTACTTTTAAAGTTAGAAATGTAACAAAAAAAATTGCTAATTTAATGTGAGACTGATTTTTGATCAAATCATTATTACTTTTTATGATTATCTCCTCTTTTATTTTACTGATCTAATTCAGTAATTGCATCAGTTCTGTTGAAAACAGAATCAAAACTTGTTAGGAATTAGTTTGAACTGTATCGAATAAAAGTGATCAAATCACTTTTAAATTACAAAATGATTAAATATCTAAGTAAAATAAAAATTTTCTTGAATGTGTTATAGAAAAATTGCAATAAAAAAAAAAAGTTCGTTTTGTACAACATAAAGTTCCTTTATTCTTTTAGGAGAAACCTTGTGAAATTATGAGAAAAGTTCGTAAAAAGATAGTTAGTGTGACTAGAATTGATACTTTCAAACTTCTTAGGAATAAAACGAAATCAGTAAGTAAAATATACCTGAATACTTAAATACTTGATTATACATAGATCATCTGACCAATCACATCATCAATTATATATAATTTTAGATGATTTGCTAGTTTTGTAGATTTAAATTATCAAAAAACCGCGATTATTTATGAAATTCATAGAACAAAAAAGAGCATTCAAAAATAATTTTGTAAGATTTGAAATAAAACAATTAAAAAAAAAAGATAAAAATGAAATTTAATATATCCATTGAGCAATATATATAGAAAAATTCACTGAGCAATATTATTTTTATTCTAATTTGTTAGCAGAAGCGAATTCCACCTCATACTAAATGAAGTTCCTTCATATATTGAATCCGATCTACTATATAATTAATTTTATTGAAATGCGTTCAAAATGTCGATTAAAGGAGCAATTTGACTACAATAAGTTCGAAAATACAAAAATCAAAAATAAATTTCAAATGTATCCAATGTTTAATTCAGAAAATAGCAATAAATGGATGTCGGTCCGAAAATTTTTGCTCCTTTTAAGTATAATGTGAAATTTCACAAAAATTTTAAAAAAAAAAAAAAGTTAAAAGAGAAAATGACTCAAATTGTTCATAATCTAAATTTAATTTATTATTGGATGCATAGACTGCTTTTCTGTTTGTTAGTCAATAAAAAAAGAAAATTTTATCATTTCTTTTACTTTGCTAATATATTTGCATATTCAATGCACCTTTAATAACAATAAAATTCTTCACTAATTAGAATTTTTGCAATGAAAGCAATGGCAATTGATCAATATTACTAATAATGATAGGAAATGATGGAGAAAGCATTGATTTGTTAATTTATGATGCACATCTTCAATTCTGATTAGATTATTTGTTGATGACAATGTCGTGTAAATAATTAGACTAGGACCCATTTAATATATTAATACGTTAGGCTAATAATGGTTGAGAAATAAGCCAAAACTATCATTGAAGAATGATCTCATTAAAAGTATTTTTCGGTGCATAGCATTAACATATTTTTCATTTTCTCATTAGAATTAATGAAATAGTGCCTTAATAATTAATCAAATTTATTAATTTTAAATTCTGACCTATGCAATATGAATTTCGAATATTTGTTCACTTTTCAGAATTGAAATATCAATGCCATCATATGCAGAAAAGTAAAGATTTACTTCTAATAATAAGACTTTTTTTTTCTCTGCCGTTTTCAAAATAAGGAAGAAAGCAAATGGAATTTTTCACGCAACTTTTGCTTCCATTTAAATACTTTCCAATATTGAATTGTAAAATTTAATGAAAAAAAAAATTAAATATAGATTTGGGTAATTGGGAACTATGAAAAATTATAAAAAATGATTGTCTGATAAACAAAATTCAAGTAAAATTTTTTGAAATAATCAATAAACAGTCAAAAATCAAAATAGTAATTAAATTTTTTTGTAATTTATATATTTTTTTACGGAAAGAAAACACTTTCAAATTTAATTCAAATTTTTCAATAAAATTAAATCAATACAATTTAAAATAGCGCCAATTTCATTAATAAATTTCAGTGCATTACAATAAACAAACAAAATTTGGCGGTTCACTATTGCTAATTGGGTCAGAATAAACAATCAAATAATTAAGATAACCTCACACCCACGATAATCACTTCATCTAATCTGTGCTAACTTTATCCATCCTCTTAGTAAGCAACAAACAATCAAGCAAGAAGCGCCATTTCGGTAAACTTTTCTTTAAGAATAATTGACCCGCAGTAAAGTACGCACAGAGATTCTCAATGAAATCTATGTTTTCTGATCTTCATAAACGATTCAATTATTTAATTAAAAAAAGTTTACTTTAAATTAGAAATTAATTTCTCATCAAATTACAATGATAACTTTTTACACTATTATATTTTATGTTATGATTTCAAACTGTTCGGGTCTTAAAACAATAAATCATATTTTTAGATTTATTTTTAGAGTTAAATTAAAATTAACATTAATTGCTTTACAATAAACTCATAATCATTTATTACTGATAGATGTAAAGAACCTTCAATGAAAACTTAAATCATTTAAAAGTATTTTTTTTTTTTGAATGGAACAAATTCTTACTTCAAATGAACTTGTACTTCAAAGTTTTTTAAGATCAGATGCTTACTTTAGTAAAATTCTTTACATTCAACAATAAAATTATTAAACAATTAATTAAATCTTTTGAATTAGAATATTCATTGACCTCATAAATGCATTAAATATTGTGTGAAAAAACAAAAATTGTATTAAAAATTTAATAAACAGTTGTAGAAGATAACGACCTTTCTAGTTTCAAATTTCTTAAAAGCACACAAAAAGGTGATCCTAAACGATCAGACTGTATCCAACATTGTTGAATGAATGAATGAAGTATTGAAGAGGAGCTCAAGAGGCACATGTGTTTGACAGAATAGCAACAGATGCCACCTTTCCTAAGATACATCCATATGCTTAGTATATTTTACATGATACTATTCTCTGCATTCACTCAAAGTAAATACTTATACAAAAAATAAAAACAAAAAAACAAAAACAAAAAAAAAAAAAAACAAGAAAAAAACGAAAAAAAGGAGATTTTTAACGCTTATTATTAATTTAAACATTTTGCACTTTCATCAACTTTCGTAGCAAAATTAGCGAAATATCTCACTAATTAATTAATATCAGATTTGAGTAATTTTATTTGTTTCAATAAGGCCAAGATGAAATACTTGTTATTACGGGTTGATTAAAAAAAAAAAAACTTAATTTTTTCGAGTTTTTTTAATTTCTTAAAAATTTCTAAAATGATAAATCATTTATTCTAGTTTTGCTTTTAGCAATGATATATTTATATTTAGCATTTTTATGTAAGTAAAAAGTAAATTCTTAGTATCTAAATAACTGTGAGATAAGAGAGAGAGAGAGAGAGAGAGAGAGAGAGAGAGAAGAAAAGAGAAAGAAAAAACAAGTAGTACTGGAAATTTTTAGATGGAAAAAATTTTTTTGCACTCTTTAAATTTTGTTTAAAAATTGTGCTCAGTGGTGCACGTTAAAAATTAGCGCCTTGCTGCAGTTGTTTACATGAGTTTACTGATACTGATCCTGTAATCTCTCTTTACTTCTGGAAAATTCAACGAAGATTATAAAAAATGAAAAACGAAAGGCTTTGAAGCTATGTTTTTTTTTTTTTTTTTCATAATCTTATTTTAAAAAAGAAAACGAAATTTAAAGGAATTTTTTCCACCAAAAATTTCTAAAATTCAGTAAATTCCATTTCATGAAATCTCAAACAATTTTTGCCAATTGAATTTGCTGCACATAATATTTTATCACTCAGTTTGCTTTTCTGACTATTAACAGATTATTAATTCACCATGATAATTAAAGCTTCTTTGCTTCCCTTCTGGAAGAATGAAGATGAATTTGAAGACTGAAAGTAATTAAATGATAGTTATGAAATTGTCAATCATTTCTCACCTGGAATGAAAAGGTGACAGGAATAATTTCTCTTGTAAATATAATTTGTTTTTTAAGCATTGAAAGAAAAAAATAATTACAAAAGAAAAGAGAAAAAGGAAATTAGAGAATAAATTGAATTGTGTTGATTTTTTAAAAATTATCTTAAAGGTTTGCAAAAAAAAAGTGGAAAGGATTTAAGTTTTGTTTGGTAGAGTTAATCTAACTCTTTGCCCAATATCTTTATTATAAAAAAAGCCGCTCTTAAAGCATAAAAAATTAAAATAAGATAATCAAAATTTCTCATAATTAAAATCAGTAACCTGCATAAAATATCGTTACAGTTTTAAGTATGATCAAATGCTAAATGTTGGAACAATAGAATGATATTTATGATTTACCCAATTATAGAATATTTTTGCATAAATAAAATTGTATCAAATGAGAGAAAAATATAAATTCAGTAAGACTCATATCTTCGTTCATTCAGGACTAGATATTTTGAGAATGATTTGTGATAAATTTCATTGTATGCAATCTTTCTTCAGTTAAATTAATTTTTATTTCTGTCCCTTCTAAATAGCTGTCAGAAATTTATGAAAATTTTCAATCGTTTTCAAAAAATACTGTTAAAAGGATTCAATGCATACTTCAGAAAACAATTAAATGTGATAACATTTTGAAGACTGTTAAATAAGACGCAATAATCAACATAAACTGAAAATATTGTTCTTCCATATTTGCTTTTTCATTTAATACTGTTTTTGAATTTAAACTTTGACTAAAATCAAATAATCAGTAATTTTCAGTTAATAAATTCAAACAGTATCGGTTGATTGCTAAATGCTAGTTTAAAATATGATTGTAACATTATCACTGATAATATTTAAAGAGAATAAACACTTGAAAGGACAGGAAATTAGGAACTGATGTGATGTGGATAATCGATTATTGGGAAGGGATTGATGATGGATAAAATGATGGAAGTGGAAACGACTATCTTTTTGTGATAGCTCATTTGTGGGAGAAAGTTTTAAGTTATGTAGAAAGGAAATGAGAGAGAGAGAGAGAGAAGATAAGAATGAACGATCGGGTCAATCAAATGCTGCAAATATTCCTACAAACTTTTTCCTCTTCCTCTTCCTCTTCTTCTTCTTCTGAACTGCTAACTACTTACACCTCCTTGTAAGCATCTGCTCGAAAATCTTGTATTGCAACTGTTCCATCTCACTAAGCGTAATGAGTAGGACAACAATCTTAGCCATTCTGTTAAAATTCAACAATGAAAAAGAAGCTAAAAGTGAACATTGCAATATTATTTTGCTCAAATTTTCAAGCACTTGAGAATAAAACGAAGATTTTTTCTTTTTATACGTTACTTTGTAGTATCAATGATCTGTTGTGAAAATTTGAAGAAGATTGATAAAAAAAGAAAGAAACAAAATGTCATTTATGAACAAATGACATTTCGAACACCTAGTTCTTCTTCTTTTCATCATACTCATAATTATGACGTTGCTGATAAACAACATAACAAATTCGAGAGTAACAGTACCATTGAAGTTAATAAGAGAATTTGTAATAATTCTTGAATTCGACCAGCAGTGACAAAGTAATAGCTATCTCTCAGCTTTACAGAAGTAATTAAGAAAAATTGCTTTTATATAAATGTTATACCGAAAAGCCACTTGTTTTAATGTTTAAAATGTGCCTGAAGATTTCATTTTAATTTTAAACTTTTATTTAATTTCAAAATACAACCAGCCTATATCTATTTTATTCGGTTATTTAGTATAATAATTTCTAGGATAGCTTTCTAATTATCTTAATTATCTGCGGCAAACTATTGCAATAAAAAGTTTTGCAGCACACATAAAAAAGTACAATAGAATATAGTGAAATATCGAATGAAGAATTAATTCACTAAAATGTTGTAATCGATACTGTTGATGATGGGATTTAATTATTCTTAATTGCTGCACCTGTTTATCTGCTCTGCTGGAGAAGCATAAAATCGACAAGAGTGAAAGATATATTTAGAGGATGTTAAGACAGTGAAAATGTCGTAGTGATAATGGGTACTGATAAGATCCCCCAAGCTTAAACTGTTCTAAATGAAGGGCAGAACATAATGTAATCATATTTCACTTTTATTCAAAACAGTTAAACTTTCAATGAATCTTATTAGTATCAATTTTCTTGACAGAAAAAAAAAAACTGTGAATTAAATGAGATGAAGGATTTTCCCAGTTAATTTTAAATGTTAGTTTCTATTTGTACTTACAAATATCTTCTGTACATTATCCTCAATTTCATGAAAATGGTACATATGATAACTGAAAAAAAAGAAGAAAGAAAAAGTGTTAACTATGATTTATTGGGAAAATTAAGTTAAAATAGTTTATCTGATTTTATTAGCATCATTCCTAGATTTCTGAAGATTAAAAGCAAAAAGAGATCAATAACATTTCTGTCACCTATGGAAGTTTTCAGAAGTTCAAAATACTTCTTTTATCAAATATTTGCGTATTACTTTCAATTTTAGCATTTTTATAGATTCAAAAGTTTTCAAGATCCTATAACAACGAAACTTCTCATTAACAAAAAAAATTTTTCGATTAGTACCAAATTCGATTACTAATAAGTTGATCGGTTATTGCGTTTTTTTTTTCTCTTATTCCAATTTATGCAAAAAAAAGGAAAAAAAAATAACCAGATGTAGAAAATTTGGTGGAAATAGTATTTATAAATTTTCTGGAATCTTTTTTTTTTCCTTAATTACAAAAAGAAAGAAAAAAAACGAGAAAATCCCAAATTATGAAAATCCTTCACTCAAGCATTTGTATTAGCATTTCAATTTTAAATATTTAGTTGAAGAATTATTTTTGAGTCATAATTCAATAGCAGCTGGCATAATCATTCGATTTCCTCGTCACTTATCAAAGATCACTTCAATTATCTAACACATATGTGATGTTCAGTTCCAAAAGAGGGCAATGTCCACCTATGGCAGCTGCTTAACAAAATCAGTAAGAAGTGGATAACAAATTTGCTACATTGGTTTCCATATGCAATTTGTTTCTCTATCGTTTGAAACATGACACGGAAATGGATGAATTTGCTTTTACTCTCGGATTATACTGCTATTATTACAATTGTCTCTTTGCCTCAGCTTAAGCTGGTAAATCAAATTGTAAAACATAAAATTGCAATTAGCAATGATCATATCTAGTAGATTCAAGATAAGATTTTGTTTAAACAAATATTCTTCCACTTTATTTGAATTTAAAAAAAAAAGGGAGGAAAATTTGAATACTAGATTATATCACTTTATCAGTTCATAATTAATCCATCGTTTTCCGTACATCCTCAAATGCTCCCATTATTACTTTGAGAAATTTTTTCTTATTTGATTTTAACATTAATAAATCCGTAGTTGAGCATTTGCTTACAATATTGCATGCATGTTTCTTTGTGATTATGTTATAAATAAAATTTCTTCTATTTCGTTTTTTATTCCTACTTAGAAGTTTATTTTTCGTTTTATATTCCTACTTAAAAACGTACATTTGTTTCTACACGTTTCGATGTTTGCTAATGCTTAGGCAATTAAATAATATTAATCAAAAAATAAAATAGACTGACTTTCCTATTCTCCGTCGATTCCCAAAACACCGATATTTTTCAGGTTTACATGTATATACAAAATATACTTCACATTTGTTCGCATGGCTAAATTTATGTGACTTTAAGATAGCAGCGCAATGTTTTGTCAATATTCTTAACTGTTTTATTTAATTAATTCTCATTTTAGTAAAGTCCACAATATCAAACATAACATCTCAACTAAAACTGTTATTATCTTATGCAATTTTTTTACAATAGCACTTTACTGTACACCGTTCCAGTAGCTTTTTTTCTTTTACTAAATCACTTCAACAGTACTAGTTCCTATTATCTGACCTCTAAAAAATGTAAACATTTGATAAAACATGGTGTTCCGGAAATACTAAGCGCATTTTATTGACCACAATAAATGGTTAGAACACGTAACAAACATAGTTTTTGCTAGTTTTTTCATTTTTTAAAAAAATTTCTTAACATCATTATGACTTTTGTGAAATTGTAAAGTTTAAAAAAGAAAATATAGAATGATCTCACTTATTATTGTTGCCTTATGATTATTACTTTCTAATGTTTCTAAATGATGGTTACTAGTTTCATTTCGTTAGTAATTTGAACGACCAATGTACTATTTATTGCTCTCTAATATTTCGTCCCTTTTTCTGAAGACTGTGATTTCCATCTCTCAGTTAATTCACTTATATAAAATTCGTAACAAGCGGAATGATGAAATTAGTGATTGTGATTGAGCTTCTGTCGACTGCAAAACCCGAACCAATCATATATTGCATAAAAACACAGAATTGCAATAATCTGGAATTGTAAAATTTGAATTCTCGAAATTAGGAAAGGTCAAATATATATCACTAAGTAGCACACTTCGCTTCTATGTTTTTGATAACCAATTCCTGCTAAAAGTCATCTTCATTATGTAGAAATTTAAAGAAAAACTAACAAAGATAATATTTAATAAAGCTATGATAGTTGTTGTCCACGGAAAACCAATCCACTGGACACAAAGACCGCCAACTGTTGGTCCAAAAATGATCTGAAAAGGTGGTTTGGTTCAGAAGGGACATTTTCATCATTTCATTATCCTTCATCAAAATTATGTGGTACAATTTACCTACCCGAAGGAATAGGCAGACTGAAATAAACCTGATATACAGCCATACGTTTGCAACGATTTACCGTACCCGTATTCGCTGTAATGAAGTTTTTACACTGAAAACATTTTTGAAATTTAAAGTGGAGAACGAAAGTTTTCTCAAAGCTGAAATATGCGTGTATCTAAATACACTCGAGCTACAACTGATCCAGAAAAATTCGACAATCAGAATAAATTTGAGGAACTTTGCTCTCATTTACTAATAATATATTAATTTGATGACAAAACTAAGATTGATAAAGTCCATTCAAATCTTTGATTGAAATGATGATTTACCATAGTGTATCAATCGATATTTGAAAAGTCGGAATATACAAAGCACTAGTAGCAAGACCAAGTATACCTAATGCAACTTCTATCCATCCTAAGTTCCTGCAAGACATGAAGTTGTGCTAATATGAAATAAGCGAAATCTTGGAAAAAAAAAAAAGATTTTATGATACATAGCATTTTCCCCAGTTCTCAGAATTATCAAATAAAAGATATCAGAGTTAGCCTGTAATAATGACAAAATGACGTAGAAAGATATTTATTATTTGTAAATAAAGTAATTACTAAATGAATATAGCAGCAATAATTTGAATAAATCGTTATTTCATGCATTATATTAGTCTTAAAATTAGAGAACTAATGGAACTGTGGTCCAATTGACTGTTTGCTCTGCCTATTTTTCGAACTTCAAGAAAATACATTATTTATAGTCTACACTTACTTCTCGGCATTCAGAAAGGTGATGGACCAATGATTATCATACTAATCACTACTGCTATAATGCCAAACAATATAATTGCCTTGCTGCAGTTAAATTTATCGATGATTATACTCCAGAAAGGTGCTGTTATCGTATAAATTCCACCAGATAGTAAGAACATTAGGCCAATAATGGATGGCGTAAGTTTGAACTGTAAAATAAGTTTGGCTATCCTTTGACTATTTGAAAAGAAGGTGAAGCATCAGTTTTGCAAGTTTATACGGCTCTACTCAAAGACGTACATGTATTAGACTGATCTGTGATGGATTCGTTTTTGAGGTCATTTTAAATTTTATGAGAGGTCAGCAAAAAACGGATAAATTATCTAATTGGAAAAATATGACAGACAATTAGAAGAACTTAGATATTACAAAGGAAAGTAATGAATTTGTATTTGTCTTTCAACAGTGCTGAAGAAATGGCCAAGCAGACATACCGATGCTAAGTGATCTGCTAAGGTTGGATCGAGAAAAGACAACGATATTGCACACATAACCACTGCATGAATCATAATCCATAATAGTGGTATCTTCAACATACCTAACATGCCTTTACCGTCCATTACTACGTCATCTATGAAATATGATGGCTCTATTTACTCTATTAATGGAATACATTCATTCAATTTTAATTTATTTAACTAATAAATATCATCAACAAAAATGATAATTTGATTTTATTAATAAATTTTGGTTGAATGATAGCAAAAAAAAACTATACCATCCATATTTTCGACCAAAAGTATGCTACTAATCCAAGAAAGAGTAAAATAATTCCAAGTACAATGAATGGCAATTTGAAACCACCAATTTCATACAGTATACCACCAAGTAAAGGTCCTGCGGTACTGCCAAGACCGACGAATGTTTCCAACACACCCTCAAAAATAAAGTGAAATTTTTAAGGATATCTGCGAAAGTTGGATCTATTCAATCATTTTAGAATCGGAAAGCTCCGCTGGTCACATGAAGGAGTGTTTACATATCAGTCATATCATATAAGGTATTGATAAATCATATATTTGATTTTTATTTACGACTATTTTATTCTACTATCGATTTATAATTTTTAATTGGAGCATCTTTTGGCAGAAATATGATTTGGTGAATGTTAAAAGTCATATTTTTCTTTGGTTATAATTTCAAAATAAACTAAACAGTGAAATTCGTACAACAACAATTGCAATACGTCCCGGGAAGCATTTAACACCGATTACAAATGATGAAGTGACAAAAGCTGCGTCACCAATAGCTTCCAATATTCGAAGACCGATCGAGGACCAGAAAAATAACGATGGCGATTCAATGTAATTCAAGAATCTGGAAATGACATCAGACTAATAAACGCTCTAATGATTTAAGTCATTACTTTGCATTTTTTTTAAAGAGCAATATTTAAAATAAATGAACGTACCCGAAGAGCACAACAGTGATACCAGTAACTCCGATTCCAGAAACAAACATCTTTTTTGAACCGATTGAAACCATCTAAAATTTTCATATTTTTCACCAGCATGTGAAAAAAAAAAAAACAATAAAGAAAGACAAAGAGTTTATTAGCTGAGTTACCACTAATACTTTCATTTGGAAAAATTCTTCAGAAAGATTTTTCCCATCTATAAAATCTTCTTGCAAAATGACCCTAAATTAAAAATTTAAATTAAACGAACGTATTTGCCGAATAGAGGTGCAATAAAAAACATTATTAGCTCGAAGACACCAAATACTACACCTATCTCGAAACTTTTCAAACCTTTAATTTTCGCCTGAAATGATTTTCCAACTTTTTTTTTAGTGGCCTAGTTGATTTATCTGCTATAAAAATAAAAGTCAGATTGACGATATGTAAAGGAGCATTTATTTTTTTTTCCTAATTAAAAAAATCATCTTTTGACAGCATAGAACCGACCTCATTTGAATAAAATGGTGCAATGCAGCTGTATGCACTGGTACCAGCGAGATTTGCAATTGACAGTATACAAATTGTCATCCATTCTTTAGCGGTAAGTGACAGTAGTTTGGTAGATGTAGCAATTTGGCAATTTGGTAGATAAGTATTGTCATTACTATTGCTATAGTTTTTTTTACTAATTCCTTCATCCAAACTGAAAATGATAATTTGAAATGTTGATTTTAAATTGAATTTAAATATTCTCAGTTCTTTTTTTAGTTAGAAGCCAAATATATTTGAAAATAAATTTGCTAAAATTCATGCTTTTAATATTTTGGCTTTAAAAATCACTTTAAACGATAGAAGATATATTTCTGTTTCATATTCTATTTTCAGTTTGGTTTTAAGTTTACATTTAATTCGATGATCAGTATAGTATTATATTTGAATAACCTCTGCCTTGGAAATTTAACTTAGTTTACTAGTCTTTCTCCGATATGAGCTCCGAAATGAAAAATCCGAATGGATTTAAACCTCTCATTTTCACTATCAACTGATTTTTCTTGTAGTTTCTCATCTTGTAGCATCACATGGATACTTCCATAATTTCCGTGAGATTTGAATGAAGCACGAGTAACGTGTGGGATAGTTAATTTACCGAATTCACTTGGTATTTGTTCAGCTGGCATAAATGGTGGTGCTGTAGTTGGCCTGAAACATTATGATTTGATGATTTGAATTTATCTCCAGTATTTCCTTGAAGTACTACTACTATCATATAATTTATCAGTTTTCGAATGTTTTTGAATTTATTTTATTAGCATGTGTGGCGGATTTTAATATCGCAAAACTCTAAAATATTATATGAGAGTTATGAATATGAGTAAGAAACATGTTCTATGAAATTCTTTGCAAATAATGTTTGTACTTTGGACTCTTTGTTTCCAACCTTATGTTTAACCTGTAAATCTTTTATATATTGTTTACACGATATCAGATCCTCATTTAATTGACCTCACTGTTGTGTCACTACTAATTGTTATCCCTGAATTTACAAGTCAGTTAGTAAATAGATTTACTTGTAAACCAGGTCAACAACTCTTTGTTAGACCGATTACTCTTTCGGCAGGTCAATCTCATATTGTAGATCATATACTTTGTTTAAGCATATTGCTTGCTATATAAGGAGGTCACCCTTGTCGAAAGAGCATTGTGTGTTTTTTATCAAGAACTAGGCGAGTTCAATTTCAGTTCTTCTCTGTCAAGTTATTGTATTATTGCTTCTGTTAATAAAGGAATTATTATATTTCTCTGTTACCCCACATATTTACATCTACATCCAACGAATCTCCCTGCGATCAGCAACCTCTCCCAAAATAAATTAAATTATCAAATCTTCCACGACAGTACAACATATTTTAATAATCGCAAATCTAATAATCAATTGAGAGGCTTTTCCTGATGATTTGTAACAATAACTGAAGAAATAACAATATACGTTTCATAGTTGACAGTGAAAAATATTGTGTTAATGATAGGTGTGCATCCTCTATAAGGATTATGAGTATCGATGGGAAAGGACGACAGGTGTTTATGGAGGTATGAAATAGTCCAGAAACGAAGAGTGCAAAAGAAAAAACGACCGGTATACTTGTTATAAACTTGTTATTGCCCATAACTATTCCTTTACTCTTTCCCTATGTTGCTGTTTTCAAAAACAGTGCATAAGAAAAAATTATATTTTATGAAAACCTTTCTGGAGTGAAAATTTTTTTGCAAATCATAAATGTCTAAGCATTGAGAAAACAAATGAAAAATAATTTTCGTTTCTAATTGAAAAACTTCCTTTTTATCATTAATGAATGTAAATATGAATTTTAGTTCTTTTGAAATTGCATCCTATGAATCTCTTGAATTCTCAATAATTCATTTTGTAAAGTTTCATTCTTATGTCACCGACGACATCAGCAATATTCTCAATGTTATCGTTCTTTTTGTTACTTTATATTTGACACACTTCAAGATTTCAAGCTATGATCGATGTAGAGATCAAATCAATAAAGATGGAACAAAAATTTGAATAGATTTCATCGATAAGTTTTTAATAATCTATTTGTTTATTTATTCATTATCTTTCTAATTTATTTTGAATTAAATGATTGCTCATTTGAGATTTAAATGTTTTACTGTGATGTATTAGTAATGCTAAACAAAAGATCACAGTATAGTGCAACACTGAGGGAGAGAGAGAATCAATGAAGTAGATAGAATTGGTAGTACTGATTAAGATCAGAATGCTTATAATCTGTGGAAAATGTTTTTAAGCAAATTGGTCCATATGAAAATAGTAAAGGTGAGCACTTCTTGGCTTATTTTTTCTAGGTAAAAGTTTCTTTACAAAGAATGGAAAATTATACAAACTTCTACGACTAAACCATTAATTATCTATTTATGAACAGGTGTGAAATGAAATTAGTAATAAAATGTGCTGATCTATTTAACGATGATCTTATCACATCAAATGAAATTCTTTAATTTTATTCAAAAGCATCAATGAGAAGAAATAAATACCGATCATTTCTAACTCGGTGAGGTGCAAATTGCGTTTTCTCAATAATCCATTGCAGATTTTCGTAGTTTCTCGATGGAACTTTCGGCACTACACTTTTACTGAAACTATCTGCCGTTATTGCTACAACTTGTCGCTCTTCATCGATGCTGCAGAATTTTTCATTGATATCATTTGGCAGTTGTCTAGGATCCATATCCAATGAAAGATTCATTCATTTGTGCATACACCAGAAAATATTTCGCCGTTAGGAACGTATTTCAGTTTATTGCTGCGACAAAATGCTAAATATATTAAATGATACGGCAGAAGAGAAGGGGCTGTAAGATGATTATATGTAAAATAAGTCTGTAAATAAACAGTTTCTGATGAAAATAAAACAGCAAGTGATGGTTTGCATTATGATTTACCGATTTATCATATCCAAAGTTTCATTTTTATATATTGGAGTAAGAAATAAATTAGGAGAAAATTGCCTACATGTTACAGACTGTACATTTACCTTTCCCACAAAATAAGATAATAAAAAAGAGGCGATGTTAGTCAAAAATGTTAAGGGGATGATCGTAAAAAAATAAAATTGAAGGGTTTAAATTCTTGTTGGTTCGAATAAAAAGCCATTTATGGTGCATAACAAAGTTAATAAACCTTTGTTTTCGAATCACTTTGATTTTAATGAATGATAAATAGTGCACAGTATTATTAGATAATCGGAAGAGGAATTTGTGATAACGATGAATGATCGATGTATTTAATATAAAGAGTATATGAAATACAAAACTGATCTTTGCTCTCATACAGGGCAACTCTTCAATTTTAGACAAGAACCATTTAGCAGATAAAAGTAAGAAACTTAAAAATTTGTAAAAAGTTAATACAAATTAAATGACAAATAGAAGCGGTGAAGAAAGAAAGAAAGAAACGTCTATTAGAAGGAAAGAAATGTTTAAGAATAGTGAAAGAAGTACCTAATAAGTACTACTGGTGATAACATATATGATAAAAAACAAGACACTGATTGCACCTTATCAGATATTTCTAAAAGTCAATTCAACATGTGAAAGACAGTGGTAATTGATGGTTTCTAAAATGATAATTCAATGAAAATTAAGAAAACTATCTGCAAGAAAGAAATTTGAAGAAGAAATGAAATAGTTTTCTAAAAAATTCAAGAACAAACAGTTTGAAATAGAACAGAAGGACTGACTGCTTAGTATAATGTCGAATGCATCGTCAGTTCGCCCTTTCTATATGCATTGCATATCGTTTTCTGTTTTTTGGTAGTATCGTTTTCATCTAAACACGTAAATGACGCACTTCCGAAGACACATAAATGACACGTAAGTGACGCAGTTCAGATATTTCTAACACATTTCTTATTAATTCTTATTGTAACAAATTATGCATGATAATTGTGGAGAATGCGTTAACTGAATGGAAAACCACTTTTACAAAAATTCATTTCTAATCTAAGGAAATTTCAAGCATCTTTGAAATTTGCATATTATATGATGTCTCCTCATATACCAAAAAAAGAGACCCAACGTATAAGGTCCATTCTTCGAGATCACAATAAAGCAAATTTCTTCTACGCTTCTGTAATTGTACACTTTTTTTAATTAAAAAGTAACTAAAATAGTTTATTTGAAAAAAGTTTTTGGCATGCTTCTAAAGCAAGAAATTACGTTCCAACGAGTATGTTATCATTGTGAAGCACCTATAGTGCCTGAACTGTATTACATAAAAATTGGTTATTTAATTTGGATCAAAATTTTTTTTTCTTTTTCAATTTTCTGTTTATATATTAATAATTGCGTATATTATTTTTTAATAAAGAATAGCTGCTGAAATTATTTTGGCTAAGAAATTCGAAAGACTTTTCAGAACTAACAAAAATCATTCGCTGTCTACTGTTAATAAAATATAATAAAAGTCAAAACTTTTCAAGGAATTAATATTTATGAACTACACTGGTAGTGGCTTGTGCCTCTGACAAGCTTGTCAGTTAGATAGGTTCAATTGAAAGGTCAGGCAGAGAGTATTGTGGAAGTTGGGGTTCCGTCTTTGAATATAACTTTCTCATGCTCAAAGACCTTCATTGTTTCTTATTGTAGTTGATGTAGATGATGCGTTGAATGATAGATCTGTTATGTGTCTTTGCTCTTTATATACTAAGAGATGGGTTTTAATATTGCACTTCCCCAAAGGATGATTATCAGCTTTAGAAGACCCTTACACAATATTTGGTTTGGAACAAAGGAGTAATTTTTAGCATATTAGACAATGCACATACCCTTTGTTGTCAGATGGAAATGTCTAGACAAAGGATAAGCTCAACTACAGTGGGAAGATGAGTGTTGGAATAAGGATTGCTCACAGTTTGCAATTTGAAACAGTTTTACATTTTTGGTGTTCATTTAAGACAAATTGTAATATTATGGATTATACAATTTTATTTGATATATTTTGTAAAATATTTGGAGGCTCGCGAGATTATTTTCGAATTTCGCGACAAAGTGTGTCCGTAAATAGGATGGGCTCGTTAGCCATAGGGCAACCATACTAAAAGGACAGCTTGACCTCATAGATGATCATGATCAGCTCTGCAAAACTATACTAGGAGAGTATGCTAAACAAGACCGCGGAGGATTTCACTACTACCATCCCAACTCTAATCTTGGCAGATGAATTTCAGGTCTAAACAGTGGGACCAGTAATGCGCACACTGCAACGCATCTAAATACTCTTTTGCACATGCTTGACGGATATACCCGGTTTCACAAAGTCCTGTAGCGGCGGCTGATAGAGAAACGGCAGATTCAGGACTTTAGTCATCCGAGATTAACTCCGTAGACAGCGATCTCGTTCAGCAGCATTCTAAATGACTAATTAGTCTTTTTCAACGAAGTCCAGCAGAAAAAGCTGAAATCTGTATCAATCATTGAAAAGTACCTGTAGAAGATTAAGTCCCTGATGACTTCAATGCCTGATTAGGAAGGAATACAGTGTTGGAAATTACTTTCTGCTCGAGTCTTACACTGGTCATCGACTGCATCTTACGCCGAAGATTCATTCATGATGTTCGTCATACTTGAGTGATATCTAGTGCAAAATGTCAACCATATCACAGCCTGGGTAATAATGCAAACTCAATTTCAAAAAAGATTTCAAAGAAAAGTCTCAAAGTCAACAATCTTGAAATTACTACAGTAAGAGACAATTCCAGGTTAATAGTCTTCAAACCAAACTTAAAGACCACTCCATAAATTTTTTTCCTCCAGCACTTGGGCAGCTCCTCAGAAACAGCAGTCCTCTGCAGAATGCCTAGAGTTCTTATCAAAGAATCCCAAAGATTGATTCGACGAGAACAATCCACAGAACCAGGAACTGCTATCCAAGAAGAGAATTGCTTGTCAAGCATACCTCGCTAATCCATCCTACAAGAAAAACAACTTTTCATCTCGTAAGTAATAAATTTCGGGACAGCAAGGACAAGTAGTGACCGGACAAATGGTTAGAACAATCCAACAAAAAAAAAAGATCCAATCATACCAGATACCGGCTCTACGAAGCTTTGGATGTATGGATCAACAATAGATTAGGCTCACAGCCTTAAACTTAGATGGCCATACTGATAAATCCTCCGTCCTCAGCCAATGGTCCAAACAATCCCAGTTCTTTTCCAAGTGCCCTCCGCTCAGTTAAAGGCTCCGCAATTCAACAACCTCTTCTAAATGCTGTGATCAGTGAGCTTTCTGTTGTTGTCCTCTTTCAAAATAACATGGCCACTGAAATTATATGATATGTTGTTGTCTTCCAAATGACAGGATCACGTAAAATGACGTGGATTGCGTGAACTTGCTTTTGTCATCCTTTCCCAAATAACATGTTCTTTTCCAAATGACATTTTCCAAATTCCAAACTCAAATTATAGGCGACCTAGGCTTACCATTTTACAAATTCATAGGAGAGTCCAACAGTCGAACCATTTCACAATTTGATCTGTAGTCATATCACTGTTAAATTTCTTCGATTCAACATTCAACATTGTCCATTTGACGTTCGCCATGCCAACACACAGTTCTGTTTTTTATCCATTACCAATAACTTTGCTGCTGTTACGAAAACTAAATAATGTTCAGGTTCTGAATAATAATCAGATAATGACTAATGTTCAACTAATAAATAACATTAGATGACAAACGGTGATAGTTAATGGACAATATTGAAAAACGCATTTGTCCCTTCACATGTGCGCCCATCAGGCCAAATTTCGTGAAAATAGCAATTAAGGTATATGGATAAATTCATTTTCAATTAACAGTTTAAAAACTGAAGCGATGATGTGATCATGAAATTTACGCGGTCATGTCATTTAGAAGACGACAATGGCAGCAAGTTCACGTGATTAAAAAACTATGTACGATTAAAATATAAATAAAAAAGCAAACAATAACGAAACAATGGCGAAAAAGAAAAGAGAAAGTCAATTGATATTACATTAAACTAAGAATTATACGTAAGCAATTGGTTAATGCAATAAAAAAAAAAGACGTGCAAAGAAATTGCTTAGTTGATGGAGTACTGATTGATGATATATAACAATAACGAATAATGCGAAATTCAGACGGTTCAGGTATCGGACACAAGTTCACTAACTTTGAGAATCATTTTGTAATCATTTCACGACGAAAAGTTCGAAAAACTATATTGATCATTCATATATATATATACAAATATTTCGATATATTATTTTATAGAATATTTGCGCCTACGATGTTTAGTGGCATATCAGAAAAGCGTACTGATCCGTGTGGCTATGTGACATTTCCATGGGAATGTTTCATGATGCAAAACTGATATCTATGACACTATTTCTAAATATACGGCTTCGATATCGTAAAGGTAAATTGCCGGATTTCAAGGATGGCTGAATGATATCTTTACAATATTTCGACATATAAGATGAAATAGTAATCTGTAATAACGAAATTTAAAAACTGTTTTGTAATTTTAATATTTCAATTGTTAATTGAAATATTGGCATCCGCAATTTCCCGTTTATTATTATTATTGATCTTAAATTGTTCGACTCAGTAATTTACTGTTCGACGGCGAATAAAAGGAAACACAATAAAATAAGCTTTTATGCGACCATCGATTCTATCTCTGTTTCAACATTCCCAGTTTTATTTTGCATTAATAAGGCAATTTGGATTTATTACCTACAGAAACATCCATCAACAAGTTATCTAATGAGTAAATTATGTAAATGTTACTTTGATCTAAATTTTCTTCAAGAAATTGGCGGCGGCAAATGATGCACAACTACATGTGGAATGTGATTAATCTATTTAAGACATTCCTGTGGCTAGAATATGAGCGGAAAAGTGGAATACGAATATTTAAATGGAACATAGGACTATCAAGACTAAATTGGCATTGGCTACTTTTTTCAGAAACTGGCAGTAAGTGATGCACAACTTTTACTTTACATTTTTAATTTCTACCGACTCAATCGCATCACTGAAATTCAATCAACCAAAATCTTTTGTTTGGCTCTATCGCCAATCGCATGTTAGTACAGAAAATTCACGTCAACTTATCACATCGTTATCAAATCACGGAAAATATAAATTCTCTTCACGAAAAAAAAAAAGTATTTCATTCTGTATTTCTGGCACTTTATTTGGATGTACTGTTTATATACTTTGCTGTACTTCAAATTATCACCAATTGTTATTTATAAGTTCATTTCTTACAGCCTCCCTTTAATTCAATTTTCTTCTAATTTGAACAAAATGTGTGAATAGATTAGTAGTGCATAAATGCAAGCATGCAAAAATGAAAATGTTCAGTTAATAGTCTTTAGCAATGTGACTTACACTGACTGTTATATATCGTGCAGTAATGACCAATTTAACACTATTTTTTATTGTATTTGTATTTGCCGCACTAAATGATACTTTCCGGAAGTGAATTTTAAATATTCTACGGCTTTGAGATCTACAATAAAAAATCAAAATTTAATTCAATTTGCGAACACATTAATGGAAAACCGACAATTCCTTCGATTGATTCATTGATTGTCGAGCTGTATAATTGATTTATATTTCTTTTCCCATGTCTTGACATAAAAACTGAGAGGGTTAATTCTACCCCTTTGTTCTTTTATCTTTTTTCTCTTCCTTAAATTTGAGTAATTAATTGTGATAAATAGTTAATATAACAATGAATCCAGAAATTTCAATAATACAAATTTAATGACAATATCAACAACAAAAAGAGGAGAGCACAGACAACAAAAAGAGGAGAGTACGTTCGCCATTCCAACCAGACTCAACCTTTCATACAAATTTATACAAATGAATTTAATGGTTAGGACCATATACTTTATAGAGTGAGCGGGTACAGTCCCGTACGTTTTTATGGCGCCCACATGAATACAGCAGTTTCCGCTTGCGCAAATGTAAAACGATAAACAAAGATGTCAGGCTCCCACGAAAAGTATCGCTGTTCCTTTGTTTGCATTCACAATATGAACGTTATAGGAAAAGATTTTTCCTTTAGAAATTTTTAGGGGAAAAATTAATACTGTGTATGTCCTTGTTGTTGTCGCAACTCCACTTTGTATTGACTTTGTAGTATATTACAATTTCGTGCCTATACAGTAATAGGAAAGAAGTAAATATAGTAAATACAAAAGATATCAAGAACTAACTGAATCCTCACTACATTATAATTTCACTACCTTTACTGTTGCTTCTACTTCCACAGCACCACTAGCCGCTTTGCATCTTTCTTCTAATGTGTTGTTGAATAGTTGAACTGCTGCATTGTACCAATTAACTCAAATTGAATTATCGGATCTAATCTATCCTCATTATTTTGATCCACTCCTTTAAATCCTCCAATGATTGTTCCTCTTCTGGCGATAATTCCGTCACCAGGTGGCCTCTTGTGATCCTTGTTTTGTTGACCAAACGCTTTAGTGTAGTTATACGGTCTTTCAATCAGCGTTCCACTTTTATCCTTGCTTGAATTCCAGTGTGTCATTTCACGATTGATTAATGCTATTTGTTTATACGTGGATTGAGGTGTACCTACTATATATATTTGTCCTTTGTCTACTTACCTTATTAACATTCCTATATGCAACTTATTGTATTTTCCGGCTTTTCTGACGCAGAGTAATAAATTGGCAAATAAATATAGTCATTGTATCTGGAATAAAATAGCTTCTGAATAGTTGTGTTGTTCGTATGGTAGATTTGTTGATAAAATTTCAGGGTCTTCAGGTTTAGATAATAAATCAAGGAAAAAGTGTATTTTATGGCTTACATATCAACCAGATTCCAGTTATTCCCTACAATACTTTGTCTTCGGATTGTATCAGCTAAGCCGGAAAACATAATTAGTTTTATGTATCGAAATAACCGAAATATTTTTATATATCGGAATAAAATATTTTTCATATTGAAAATTTAAGAATTTGTCGGAAAAAACTAAATTATAATAATATATTTGTATTTGATAATAATAATATAATAATTATTATAATAATAAAATTGTATTAAAATAAGGCTAGAGGTTGTCTTAACTGAATATCCTTTATTCAAATCCTTTATACAAAAATATCCTTTGTACAAAAATTAGATAGATGAGCTCATCTGTGTTGTCTGCAATGTTATATGATCTATATGAATTTATGAATTTTTTTTAAATCTAATAGTATTTCTTATGAGTAACTGGCTCATTCGGTTCATTTAAATCCTTACTTTTTCCATCGGTTTTTCCACTTCGTCTTTACCTCATATTCGTAGATATTTTACGAGAAAATGAGTATATTGTCAATATACATTAATACTTCCATATCGTGATTGTTAGCAAAAAAAAAAAAAAAAAATGTTATAAGAGACTCCTTTATAATACATTTTTCTATGCCAATTTCAAACCACAACTAAGAAAGTCAGGGAAACTTTATGACCAAGATCTACATTTTCTTGTCCATAAAACTGTCATTTGAATATTCTTATCCATACATCACACAAAGTATAAAATTTCGAATGGAAGAGTAAATGTTCCTGTAACTAAAAGTAAGTTTTCTAAGCATTCAATTTAGTATTAGCATTACTATTACCTTTCAGTTTATTATTAGCTTTGGAGACGATTCGCTGTGATCGTAGTATCGGACGACAGAAAACAGTGTCGCGTACCGGAATAGATGTGTATGCAATTGAAGCATATGCAAACGCTCCAACCGGGAAAGGCGTTTTTGTTAGGAAGAGTACAAAACTTATGCACATTTCCTCTTTATTGCTTTAATTTAATTGAATATTTGTTTCAAAATATAAATTCAGTCTGGTTCATCTTGGGCAGGCTTTTTTCATTCTGTATATTTTCTGCGCGTCATTTAATTAAAATAATTTATCTGTTAAAATAACTTATGTGTATCCAAAATAATGTCACTGTATACAATCAAGTTAAATTTCAGAGGATGTCGAACAAATTAGCATGAATTGCTACTAGTAATATACAGACACCGCCGGCAATAACAGTTATTGTACAATTGCTATCATTGCCACAGAAAATTACTTTGAACTTTGAAAAATTTTATTCAGCTGTCTTTGCTAGTTTTTTCATTTTTTAAAAAAATTTCTTAACATCATTATGACTTTTGTGAAATTGTAAAGTTTAAAAAAGAAAATATAGAATGATCTCACTTATTATTGTTGCCTTATGATTATTACTTTCTAATGTTTCTAAATGATGGTTACTAGTTTCATTTCGTTAGTAATTTGAACGACCAATGTACTATTTATTGCTCTCTAATATTTCGTCCCTTTTTCTGAAGACTGTGATTTCCATCTCTCAGTTAATTCACTTATATAAAATTCGTAACAAGCGGAATGATGAAATTAGTGATTGTGATTGAGCTTCTGTCGACTGCAAAACCCGAACCAATCATATATTGCATAAAAACACAGAATTGCAATAATCTGGAATTGTAAAATTTGAATTCTCGAAATTAGGAAAGGTCAAATATATATCACTAAGTAGCACACTTCGCTTCTATGTTTTTGATAACCAATTCCTGCTAAAAGTCATCTTCATTATGTAGAAATTTAAAGAAAAACTAACAAAGATAATATTTAATAAAGCTATGATAGTTGTTGTCCACGGAAAACCAATCCACTGGACACAAAGACCGCCAACTGTTGGTCCAAAAAATGATCTGAAAAGGTGGTTTGGTTCAGAAGGGACATTTTCATCATTTCATTATCCTTCATCAAAATTATGTGGTACAATTTACCTACCCGAAGGAATAGGCAGACTGAAATAAACCTGATATACAGCCATACGTTTGCAACGATTTACCGTACCCGTATTCGCTGTAATGAAGTTTTTACACTGAAAACATTTTTGAAATTTAAAGTGGAGAACGAAAGTTTTCTCAAAGCTGAAATATGCGTGTATCTAAATACACTCGAGCTACAACTGATCCAGAAAAATTCGACAATCAGAATAAATTTGAGGAACTTTGCTCTCATTTACTAATAATATATTAATTTGATGACAAAACTAAGATTGATAAAGTCCATTCAAATCTTTGATTGAAATGATGATTTACCATAGTGTATCAATCGATATTTGAAAAGTCGGAATATACAAAGCACTAGTAGCAAGACCAAGTATACCTAATGCAACTTCTATCCATCCTAAGTTCCTGCAAGACATGAAGTTGTGCTAATATGAAATAAGCGAAATCTTGGAAAAAAAAAAAAAGATTTTATGATACATAGCATTTTCCCCAGTTCTCAGAATTATCAAATAAAAGATATCAGAGTTAGCCTGTAATAATGACAAAATGACGTAGAAAGATATTTATTATTTGTAAATAAAGTAATTACTAAATGAATATAGCAGCAATAATTTGAATAAATCGTTATTTCATGCATTATATTAGTCTTAAAATTAGAGAACTAATGGAACTGTGGTCCAATTGACTGTTTGCTCTGCCTATTTTTCGAACTTCAAGAAAATACATTATTTATAGTCTACACTTACTTCTCGGCATTCAGAAAAGGTGATGGACCAATGATTATCATACTAATCACTACTGCTATAATGCCAAACAATATAATTGCCTTGCTGCAGTTAAATTTATCGATGATTATACTCCAGAAAGGTGCTGTTATCGTATAAATTCCACCAGATAGTAAGAACATTAGGCCAATAATGGATGGCGTAAGTTTGAACTGTAAAATAAGTTTGGCTATCCTTTGACTATTTGAAAAGAAGGTGAAGCATCAGTTTTGCAAGTTTATACGGCTCTACTCAAAGACGTACATGTATTAGACTGATCTGTGATGGATTCGTTTTTGAGGTCATTTTAAATTTTATGAGAGGTCAGCAAAAAACGGATAAATTATCTAATTGGAAAAATATGACAGACAATTAGAAGAACTTAGATATTACAAAGGAAAGTAATGAATTTGTATTTGTCTTTCAACAGTGCTGAAGAAATGGCCAAGCAGACATACCGATGCTAAGTGATCTGCTAAGGTTGGATCGAGAAAAGACAACGATATTGCACACATAACCACTGCATGAATCATAATCCATAATAGTGGTATCTTCAACATACCTAACATGCCTTTACCGTCCATTACTACGTCATCTATGAAATATGATGGCTCTATTTACTCTATTAATGGAATACATTCATTCAATTTTAATTTATTTAACTAATAAATATCATCAACAAAAATGATAATTTGATTTTATTAATAAATTTTGGTTGAATGATAGCAAAAAAAAACTATACCATCCATATTTTCGACCAAAAAGTATGCTACTAATCCAAGAAAGAGTAAAATAATTCCAAGTACAATGAATGGCAATTTGAAACCACCAATTTCATACAGTATACCACCAAGTAAAGGTCCTGCGGTACTGCCAAGACCGACGAATGTTTCCAACACACCCTCAAAAATAAAGTGAAATTTTTAAGGATATCTGCGAAAGTTGGATCTATTCAATCATTTTAGAATCGGAAAGCTCCGCTGGTCACATGAAGGAGTGTTTACATATCAGTCATATCATATAAGGTATTGATAAATCATATATTTGATTTTTATTTACGACTATTTTATTCTACTATCGATTTATAATTTTTAATTGGAGCATCTTTTGGCAGAAATATGATTTGGTGAATTGTTAAAAGTCATATTTTTTCTTTGGTTATAATTTCAAAATAAACTAAACAGTGAAATTCGTACAACAACAATTGCAATACGTCCCGGGAAGCATTTAACACCGATTACAAATGATGAAGTGACAAAAGCTGCGTCACCAATAGCTTCCAATATTCGAAGACCGATCGAGGACCAGAAAAATAACGATGGCGATTCAATGTAATTCAAGAATCTGGAAATGACATCAGACTAATAAACGCCCTAATGATTTAAGTCATTACTTTGCATTTTTTTTAAAGAGCAATATTTAAAATAAATGAACGTACCCGAAGAGCACAACAGTGATACCAGTAACTCCGATTCCAGAAACAAACATCTTTTTTGAACCGATTGAAACCATCTAAAATTTTCATATTTTTCACCAGCATGTGAAAAAAAAAAAAACAATAAAGAAAGACAAAGAGTTTATTAGCTGAGTTACCACTAATACTTTCATTTGGAAAAATTCTTCAGAAAGATTTTTCCCATCTATAAAATCTTCTTGCAAAATGACCCTAAATTAAAAATTTAAATTAAACGAACGTATTTGCCGAATAGAGGTGCAATAAAAAACATTATTAGCTCGAAGACACCAAATACTACACCTATCTCGAAACTTTTCAAACCTTTAATTTTCGCCTGAAATGATTTTCCAACTTTTTTTTTAGTGGCCTAGTTGATTTATCTGCTATAAAAATAAAAGTCAGATTGACGATATGTAAAGGAGCATTTATTTTTTTTTCCTAATTAAAAAAATCATCTTTTGACAGCATAGAACCGACCTCATTTGAATAAAATGGTGCAATGCAGCTGTATGCACTGGTACTACCAAGATTTGCAATTGACAGTATACAAATTGTCATCCATTCTTTAGTGGTAAGTGATGATGATTTGAAGGCTGTAGTTTTATAACTACTGTTTTTACTATTGATAAAGCTTTTACGTTTAGTTATTCCTTTTTCCAAGCTGAAAGTAATTATTTGAAATGCTTAAAACTTAAGTTTACCTTATACGTTTAGAGTTAATGTCAATTAGGAGCAGAAATGAATTTATAGAAATTTAAGTTTTGAAAAAAAAAAGTGTGTTTATATATGTAAGAAAAAAAGGAAAAGAAATTATAGGAATTTTTTTGAGAAAATCACTTTAAATAACTTTTTTCTTTCACAATTTACCTTGTTTTTGGTTTTAAACTTCAGTTCTAGTTTAGCATGATATGACCAACATGGTATTAGATGTTTTCAAGACTTTTATTCTGAAGTTCTCATCACTTTATTGCTTTTGCAATGGTTTAAGTCTTTCAATTAAAAATTTTGAGTGGATTTAAACCTCTCATTCCCACTATCAGTTGATTTTTCTTGTAATTTTTCATCTTTTAGCATCGCACGCATACTTCCATAACCTCCGTGAGATTTAGACGGAGAACGACCGACATGCGGAATAGCCAATTTGCCAAATTCAATCGGTATTTGTCCAGCAATTGGCATAAACGGAGGTGCTATAGCCGGCCTAAAACATTATCAGTTAAAATTCTCAAAGTTCTGCCACCATCACATAATCTGTCAGTGTCAAGAAATTTTTGTATTTATTTCTGTCAACAACAATCGATTGAAAATTGCAAATTTGATTCCGACTGCTTTTTTCTTTTTCTTTTTTTTTTTTGCTGATTTTTTGCAATATTCATAAAATAAATATGACAATAGACTTTTTATAATAAAAGCTGACAGTGAGAAATATTATTTAACAGCCATAGCTTGCCGGCTCCTATAAAACACCGATGAAAGAATTGGTAGGTATTCATGAAACTGTTTGATAGTCCGGAAACGAAGACCGAAAAGGAAAAAACAACCGGTATACTTGTTATAAACTTGTTATTGCTCATAACTATTCTTTACTCTTTCCCCTATGCTGCTAATTTGAAAAACATGCGCAGAGAAAAGAAATAAATAAATTATATGAAAACCTTTTTGGAGTGGAAATTTTTGTGCGATTCATAAATGTCGAAGAAATGATTGAAAAAACAAATGAGAAATCATTTTCGCTTTTAAATGAAAAAATTTTTTTTATTAAAAATGAATGTAAATATAAACCTTAATTCTTTTGAAATTGTATCTTTTGAATCTCTTGAATTCTCAATAATTCATTTTGTAAAGTTTCATTCTTATGTCACCGACGACATCAGCAATATTCTCAATGTTATCGTTCTTTTTGTTACTTTATATTTGACACACTTCAAGATTTCAAGCTATGATCGATGTAGAGATCAAATCAATAAAGATGGAACAAAAATTTGAATAGATTTCATCGATAAGTTTTTAATAATCTATTTGTTTATTTATTCATTATCTTTCTAATTTATTTTGAATTAAATGATTGCTCATTTGAGATTTAAATGTTTTACTGTGATGTATTAGTAATGCTAAACAAAAGATCACAGTATAGTGCAACACTGAGGGAGAGAGAGAATCAATGAAGTAGATAGAATTGGTAGTACTGATTAAGATCAGAATGCTTATAATCTGTGGAAAATGTTTTTAAGCAAATTGGTCCATATGAAAATAGTAAAGGTGAGCACTTCTTGGCTTATTTTTTCTAGGTAAAAGTTTCTTTACAAAGAATGGAAAATTATACAAACTTCTACGACTAAACCATTAATTATCTATTTATGAACAGGTGTGAAATGAAATTAGTAATAAAATGTGCTGATCTATTTAACGATGATCTTATCACATCAAATGAAATTCTTTAATTTTATTCAAAAGCATCAATGAGAAGAAATAAATACCGATCATTTCTAACTCGGTGAGGTGCAAATTGCGTTTTCTCAATAATCCATTGCAGATTTTCGTAGTTTCTCGATGGAACTTTCGGCACTACACTTTTACTGAAACTATCTGCCGTTATTGCTACAACTTGTCGCTCTTCATCGATGCTGCAGAATTTTTCATTGATATCATTTGGCAGTTGTCTAGGATCCATATCCAATGAAAGATTCATTCATTTGTGTGTTTTGACATCAATAACCAGCATATGTTTCGATATCAAGAACTGCTACCTTATTATTTCAACCCTTACTGTGGTACCCGATGATGTCAGTTGGAAAGTACAAAAATTTCTTCATCCGTCGTATTTCAAATATTTTCAATGATCTGATGATGTAGGTCTTAAGCTGTTTCTTTATAGTTCAAAATGTATTTTGAGCCATGCTATAACAAAATTGACATGAATTTTCATAGGATTCAAGAAGCATGTAGGTAACGAAATAGGTAATATGAAAATTTTACATAGAAATGATTATGTATCATGGGTGATTTATAGGTCACAGGAACTATGAAGTCATTAGTAGAATTGAAGAAGGGAATGATCCTTATTTTGCTATTAAATTATTGAAAAATTAGTGAAATTTTATGAGTTTTTGCTAAATTTATTTAAAGCCATTATATCTTTCAAAGCACTTATAATAGAAATGTGGAGTTTCATGTAAAGAAAAAAAAAATTTTAATTTTTCTCACAAAAAACTAATCATATAAAAGAGTGATTTTACGAAAGGCAAATGTAAATTTTAACCATCATTTATATTCCACAAAACAACAACTACCTCCCAAGGTTTATAAAAAATTATTGATAAATTTTAAAAAGAGATTTAAAATTCTTAATGATCTAAAAAACAAAAAAAGATACTTAATTTCAAATATATTATGTATCAGCGATTCTTTTTCCAAATGCAAAATTATATTTATTATTGCATAAGAAAATATTTCCTGAAGTTTTCGCTTCACTACAGATATAATCAATATATCTCACCATTAAATTATTATATCATTAAAATGCTAACTCCTAATATCTTTGTATCATGAAAATCATACATAAATTTAATATAATTATCAGAGAACTTTAAAGTTATATCTTACTCATTCAGGTTGGCAAATGTTCGAATATTCATTTCAGTAGTAAATTCAGTGCTCAAAGATAAGTTGACAGCAAAATGTTTATATGATAGAATAATACAGCAAAAGAGAAGAGACTGTACGATTATATCTTAACACCCATAGCAAATAATATGCCATGGAAATAGCATAGCAAATAAAATTCGCATGTTTATCGTATCCTTTAATTTTTTTATGATATAAAGTAAGGAAGTTTATGGTAGTAAATACAGTACGAAGGTTTACGGTAGTGAATACAATAAGAAGCAAATTACCCACAGCAAGAAGTAAATTGCAGATTGGATATTTACTACCCACACAAAATAAGTATGCTAAAAAGGCGATATTACTTCATACAAATTTTGGAGCAAACATTTTATCAATTATTCATTTCTAATAATTTCACAAATTAATTTAAGGTGGGAAGGTTGGTAATTAGCATAAATCTGTGAAATTTTTAAAAAAGAAAGAGAATATAGAAATGTTAATTAGAAGTGGGATAACTGAAGATCAAGATACGACAAAAGAGGGTAACAAGCTTCACAAAAACAACTTTTTTTTTTTGATGTTTTGTAAGTTTTTTTTGCACAGCTATGAGATAAGAATTTAACCTATTGACTGTTACATCTTAATTTATTTTATTAAATTTCTATTTCTTTCATCCCAAATAGCTAAGCCCAATATACATGTGATCATTTCTGGAAGAATTTTACTATGATAATGTGTTTTAGAGAAACATTGCTTTTACGAAAATAATAGACAAAGGAAAAGACATAGAAATTAAAATGAAGTGCTTGATTTAAAGTGACAAAAATAATTTAATTTTCATCCAAATGAATAACATTACAATACATTAGTTTAAAAGTAACAAAAACCGGTAAAAAACTTTAATATCATCAAGTTTTTTACCAGACTAATATCATAAACGGAGATCTTAAAACTCAAACTTGATGTAGCTGTCAAGAGTTATATTTTTAAAAGATGAAGTTCTTGCTGGTTCAATTAGAAAGCCATTTTTGGTGCATAACAAAATTAATAAATCTTTGTTTTCGAATCACACTGAATGATAAATAAGTGGTTGTGCACAATATTATTAGATAATTGGAAGAGGAATTTGTGATAACGATGAATGATCGATGTATTTAATATAAAGAGTATATGAAATACAAAACTGATCTTTGCTCTCATACAGGGCAACTCTTCAATTTTAGACAAGAACCATTTAGCAGATAAAAGTAAGAAACTTAAAAATTTGTAAAAAGTTAATACAAATTAAATGACAAATAGAAGCGGTGAAGAAAGAAAGAAAGAAACGTCTATTAGAAGGAAAGAAATGTTTAAGAATAGTGAAAGAAGTACCTAATAAGTACTACTGGTGATAACATATATGATAAAAAACAAGACACTGATTGCACCTTATCAGATATTTCTAAAAGTCAATTCAACATGTGAAAGACAGTGGTAATTGATGGTTTCTAAAATGATAATTCAATGAAAATTAAGAAAACTATCTGCAAGAAAGAAATTTGAAGAAGAAATGAAATAGTTTTCTAAAAAATTCAAGAACAAACAGTTTGAAATAGAACAGAAGGACTGACTGCTTAGTATAATGTCGAATGCATCGTCAGTTCGCCCTTTCTATATGCATTGCATATCGTTTTCTGTTTTTTGGTAGTATCGTTTTCATCTAAACACGTAAATGACGCACTTCCGAAGACACATAAATGACACGTAAGTGACGCAGTTCAGATATTTCTAACACATTTCTTATTAATTCTTATTGTAACAAATTATGCATGATAATTGTGGAGAATGCGTTAACTGAATGGAAAACCACTTTTACAAAAATTCATTTCTAATCTAATGAAATTTCAAGCATCTTTGAAATTTGCATATTATATGATGTCTCCTCATATACCAAAAAAAGAGACCCAACGTATAAGGTCCATTCTTCGAGATCACAATAAAGCAAATTTCTTCTACGCTTCTGTAATTGTACACTTTTTTTAATTAAAAAGTAACTAAAATAGTTTATTTGAAAAAAGTTTTTGGCATGCTTCTAAAGCAAGAAATTACGTTCCAACGAGTATGTTATCATTGTGAAGCACTTTTTTATCAATATTTTATAAGTAAGGTGATATTCAGAGAAGATTAGTTATCCTATAGTGCCTGAACTGTATTACATAAAAATTGGTTATTTAATTTGGATCAAAATTTTTTTTTCTTTTTCAATTTTCTGTTTATATAAATATTAATAATTGCGGTATATTATTTTTTTTTAATAAAGAACAGCTGCTGAAATTATTTTGGCTAAAAAATTTGAAAGACTTTTCAGAACTAACAAAAATCATTCGTTGTCTACTGTTAATAAAATATAATAAAAGTTAAAACTTTTCAAGCAATGAATATTATATAATTTTGAAGAGCGATCAGTATTATCGCAAAAGATACGACTTTGGTGGAATCAACATTGCCATAAGAAGTATTATTTAAAAGGAATCAATATTAATCTAACAGATGTGATTAGCATGATCACTATCATTATAAAATGACACAAGGATAATAAAAAAAAAATGAAAAGACAATGATAATGATTATTCTTATAAATCATTTAGTGGCCGATATTAGACCAAACAACAGTTTATTGATTCTTTAACGATTATTCGCTCATACTTTGTAAGGATCATATATATATATTTTTGTTATTATTATCGTTGTTATCGTTTTTTATTATTGCAGTTATTTTATTTTTAATATCGCTGATTTTATTTATGATCGCTGTTGAGCGCTACATCGATATATTCATTCCTATAGCTGCTTCAAAATGCTGTGGCAAAAAAAAAACAAATCGTTGAAAATATTATCGAAGTGCAAATACTATCAGTTTTGATCAAAATACTTACAGTCCTTTCCATTTTAAAATTGAAAGCAAAGCTATAAATCAATAAAACACAAAATTGAAGAGAGAAATGTTCCAAAACAAAGTAATGATTGTTATCTACGAGCATAACAGAATGAGAATTGTTAGCTTAAATATGAAATCGAAGAGAGAAAATATTATTATCGAAGTGCAAATACTTTCTTCAAATTTCAATTATAATTGTATGAAATAAGCTTGAAATATTGCATATAATGTAAAACGACTCGTAAATTTTTGTTCAGTAACTGTAAATTAAAATTGACTGGAAGTTCTTCGAGCGCAATTAGCAATGTTACCTTATTTCAGCGCTTTTTGACACAATTAAATTCCTATTTCATGTCAGAATATTATGATTAATAGATAGACATGGAGCCATTTTTCATTCCAATTGGATGATACTTTCCATGGCTATACATTATTGGTAAAAACAAAAAATTTTTTTAAAATCATTCTGAATTTTCGTAAATTTTGGATTACAATAAGAGGAATTTTTTTAATTTTTCCACTAAAATATTTTAATAAAGTCTAAAGAGTCGAGTTATCATGGAATCAAATTTGCAATTTTTATTACCAGTATTTAGGAATGATTCATTGTTCCTAGGAAGCTAAAATTCTTGTTGCTTATAATATTTATAATGACCTCTTGACCTAAACAATCTTAAACTTCGTTGATCTCAAGTCATTATCTCAGAAGATGGAAGACAGAGATAAGATAATTTCGTCATATTCTTCTAAACTTTCCGAAGCTTATCAAAAGAGCTCTAAGAGATATTATCAAACTTCTTTTAACTTACCAAAATATTTGAGTTTTTGAAAAATTTTTCCTACTGTTATTTTTTCTTCTTCTCTGATGATCGCCATTTCCTGTTCCTTCTACATTTGTTACAAAGCCATCATCGTGCAACTCATTACTTGCAATTAAGCTAAAATTGAGCTTGGATTACAATCCAGTGATATAGTTTCAGAACGTATCGTTTTGTTTGATTTCGATTATTATTCAATATCAGTGTAGTGTTTGACATTAAAAGGTATTCTTCGACATCAAGATGTTTGTTTTTTATCGATATCAATTCAAATGGTTGTTTATTTAATATTACCTAGGAAGAAAAGTAAATGAGAATTAAGTACTGATTAAGAAAGATTAGAAAACCAATGTAGCTTGTCTTTTTTATCACAATCACTAATTAAGCAAAATTTAAAATGCATTGCTTGACGGAAAAAAGTCAACTTTAAGAATTATTCAAGTGTAATCTATTCAGTTTTTCGATAATCTTGAAAAAAAAAATTCATTAAAATCATCTAAGCTTTAATGTTTTTTTTAAGCTTTAGTGACAAACTTCAAATTTATTAAATTAACAGAAAAACAAACTGTGAAAGCTCAAGAAGTGATTGCTTTTCGTTCTTCATCGAAACACTATCATTAATTATCTGCAACTTGACTTACTACCAAATCGATAGCAATATACCTTCCGGCAAATTTGCAACGTTTGATTAATGAAATAAACAACATATATTGAAACATTTTGAAATGACCCAGAAATGTTTAAATTTATCAAACGAATAGCATTTCAATTACTACTCATTCAAATGTCTTAAATACATGAAATAATTCAATTTGTAAATTTCAAAATATTCATGCATTTTCTTCAAAACAAAATTATTGTATTTTACTGTTGTGCACTGATTGTTTTGGATAGCAATTTAGAAAATTTAAATTGATAGGGTGTAAAATCAAAGGAGTAAAAGTAGGAAAGTCAGAACTTTGCACTAATATGTGCAAGTAATGCATTCAATTTTATCATACTAAATAAGTTTTTATGATAAGATAGATTTGAGTAATATAGTTTAGATAACACAGCTGTGTTACCTAAACTAAATTATATTTGTTGGATAATTATCTAACAAAATAAATGTTGTTGGATAGTTATCTAACCGACAAAAAATTTTGTCTTAATTTAGGATCTTTTATTTTCCTTCAATTTACTGCTTTTTTGTGCAAAAGAAAGATGATACAATCTGATAAACAAATCACACTTCCGGAAATGTTATTCAGGAACGTTTCAACAGTTAACGGACTGATAAATGCCTGTGACTGCTAAAGTTTACTCTTATCTTTGCGTATTTTATTCTGAAAGAATTGTGCTTTGCCATTTACTTTTTTGGTTTTGTCTTCAATACCACACAATGTGACAGTTTAGAAAACATATATCAGTAGATAATTAGTACTAAAATAACATTATTAAAATGAATGAACTTAAATTAGCAGTTTCAATTTAAGTAAATCGGTATAAGATTTGTTACAAAGTGCTTATAATCAATTTTAATGAATAGCATGAATTTCCATGTAAAATTCGAATATTTTTCAAATTCTTATAAAAATTGAAAGAATATTCGCTGAAAAAAAGACGATTTTGTAATGAATATGAAAGATTTCATATGCTGCGCTAATTTATCAGCTTAAAATTATCATCGATAGGGTATGAATTTTAATATTGGTTTAATTTTTTTTAACCAAAAGACTTATTGTCAATATTTTATTTATTTATAACTTAATTTAATTCTAAATTTTTTCATGACAATTTTTTTAATTGCTTAATTAAACTTTTTTTTTTATTTATGAAAAAAAAAAACAACAAGCTAAAGGTTTTTAAAAAGATAAAGAAAGACTGAAACAAGCAAAACTTTTCAGTACCATTTCATTATGCATGTAGAATTGAAAATAGTGAAATATGCGCAAAATTGTACAGCACGATGAATTGTTGTTTGTAGATGATGAAATATTAAGTGATAATGATAAGGAGGGCAAGGGACCGGTTCGGTTCATAGAAATGTGCAGCTAATAATATCAGCTAATAATAGAAATAGATAATATATGGGAGCGGTTATTAACATCACACTGATAAGGTTTAGGTGATAAGAAAGTTAAGTTCAGAAACTGACTGATTGCACTAACTAATTTTTCTTTCGGCAGAAATCATTCAATTCAGCGTTTCTATGGAATCATAAATTAAAAACACCAATGTAACCGACTTATTTATTTGTTATCTAATACATTTATATGGATCGAAAGATCAGTAACTTCCAAAATTAAAAACCAAAAGCATCCAAAAAATTCATTTTTTTTTAGACTCATCATTTTGTGCTTTTTTAATCATAAATATAGAAGGTAATATTTTGTTGGCTTCCTTGAAAATTTAAATTCAACTACAAATAACTTAACTAGAAACAATTGGAAAGACGCTACAGAGTGAAAATGAGATGATACGATTCAGTATTTTCCAGGAAAATTGCATAAAATTAAAATAGCTACAAATAATTGCAACGATAAAAAGTTGGAAAATTTTTTTGAATGAGCGAAAGAAAAAGATGATAAATCAGCAATGCCTGACTGATAAGATGATAAGAAAAGCAGAAGCATACAAAACAATTGTCGAAGCTTTCAGAATATTTCATGGATCGATCTAAAGATGAAACTTTACTGTGATCCATTTGCGCCAAAAAAAAAGTACAATAGCACTTATATCTTAAAAGCATATATTGAGTACTTCCAAGAAGATATGACATGAGTTTAGTTGATAAGCACATTGGGATTGCTAATTGTACATCTGTCTCATCCATCTGCTCATTACCATTTGCAATAGATTTTTAATCATTTCAAAATTAAAACTTTATAAAATTCTCAAAAAATGATTAGATTCTACATTTTTTCTTAATTTGTTTACTGATATTAATGCTTACAACAGCAGCATAATTCAAAATTTAACTGTTTTGTCGTGGTAACAATAGTGACAATGGCAACAATGACAATGATGAATTGATTATCGTGAAAAGATAAAAGAATGTGAAATTAATTTATCATCAGGAAATTGATTACCCTTTTCAACATTTCGAGAATTCTATTTCATACGAAAGTTCTGTTAGTTTGTGATAATCATTCAAAGAAAATAAGTTGTGCATTGTTATTTGCACTATGTAACATTTATAATTCAAATATATGACTAGTTTTTCTGCTAAGAAATTTTAAATTAAAATTTACCTAATTTTTCTTTTATTATTTATAGAAAGTAGGTTAGAAGTAGAAATGATTGTTGCCCATTAATATGGAATTTTCAAGAAAAATTATTATATTATAAGTGAAAAGGCAAAAGAAATTTATCAATTAACAGAAATAACAATAAGCAAAAAAAAAAAAAATTAAACATTTTTACCAATTAAAACATGATTCATTTGGTGGTATAGAAATAAAAGTCATTCTCACATTCTTTCAAATTTTATTTTTCATTCAACAGGTGCATTTATATTGAAACAGAACTAATTTCCCATCGACAAATCATTGAATCATCAAAGAAAGCAATAAGCTTGCTTTTTCACCAACATTTTTTTTTTTTTTTGCTGTAATAGATTTTATATATTATTAATTTACACTAAAACTTATTAAACTTTTAGCTAAAAATAAATGCATTGAGCAAAAAATAAAAAAATAAAAGGGTAAGAATAAATCAGAACAACCAAAAATGTTGTCTGAAATTAGTATTAATCGAAAATGGAAGAACTAAAGATTAATATTAATGTTTAATCTAAAGCTCTTATTAGATCAGATCAATTGGTAGATGAATTCGAATGCTATAAGTATCAATTAGTTAGCTAGAACGAGAAGACCAGGAGAATATCGTTGAAATGAAAATAACAAATTTTATGACGAATGCACCGTTAAGCGGCGGCTTTTATTTATTTACGGAAACAAATTGGTCGCGATATGATGTGATGTGCTTCCTAATATTTATCATCTACTGTTCCCTAATATTTATATAATAGGTCCTGCCATTATAATTAGCAATAATTTGTATTTACCAATGCCGCATTTACTATCAAACTATTGTTTGGTACTATTTGGCTCTAGCATAGAAGATATTTAGACTTAGTTCAATTGACTACTTTACTTTACATTTTATAATCGTATTTCAATCAATTTAATAGTAAGATGGAATAAATTTTTATTGCCATAAATAATTAACAAATTTCATTATCTTTCCCATAATGTCATACCAAATTTAAAAGCAAAAATGAATGAGTAAAATTTGTTTAATGCAAATTTTTTCGTTCTAAAATTAAAAAAAGATTAAAAATAATTGCAAAAAATCATAAGAATTTCTCCCTCTCTCTCTCTTTACTCTCTACTCCTCTTCTTACTCTTTACAGATTGTAGTGCCAGCTGTTGTTCAACGATTCTGATTATCGAGAGATTCTTTAGTTATTGTTTTCGCAACTGTTATTTTTGAATTTATTCCAACCATATTGAATTTTCATGAAATTGAAATCTCTCCTCCCTTCATGTAATAAACATTTAGCTATTTTGGGATGCGTTTTGTTGTTTGAAGCTTTCAAATTTTAATCCGAAGAAATCATAAATATCTGAAGGCATCCGGTATTGGATTTATATTCAGAAGTACAATTCATTATTCCAACCTATTCACACATCCTTTTTCCTGTCCTTTTCCTTCTCCTTCGCCTCTTTTCATTTTCCGTTATTTTCATCCTAAACCGATTTCAAGGTTTATATTGCTGCTACCGGCGTTCAATTCTTTGCCACATCTTAGCCTCTATTGATCGGCCAAATGAATGACAACTCTTTGCCCGTCCATTTCAATTGTATGTAAGAAGTGAGTGTGTATGTGGTGGTGGCGGTAGTGGTGGCGGTGGTGCGTGGTAAAAGCCTTTATCAGCCTAGGCTAAAATCATAAGGGTAGTTAGTTACCCTTAAGCATGATAATATTACTCTCTTCGCTCATTTACTCTCAAATTTCCTATATTCTCATATAATAACCTTTCACTTCTCGCCTTAAATAAGCAGACGAACTATTACCGCCATCTACTAGTTCCGCTTCCTCAATGCTATCTGCTCATATTCCCATTCATAGAAACCAATAGCCAAAGTAATTGAAGGATTGCATAAAATTTCATTTTTATTTCACTCCCACCTCGCTCTCTCTCTCTTCCCACCCATTCACTCTTAACCTCTTCAGAAGTGGACGACAGATGACAGATTTTCTAGTTTGCTTGAAATTACTCAATTTTATGCTATTTCCCTTGTAATCTTCAGTTTCTTATTCGAGCTCGCTTCTGTCCTCTTGCTTTTCAACAGACTAAAATTTATTGTGAATTGATGTGTTAATTTCTCTTCTTAGCTTATGCTAACATTGGTGACAAAAGCTAACAAATATAATTAAATTAGCAGAACGACGACGAAGAAGAAGAACCATACGTTCTTTTTTCTTTAGGGCTTATTGAGCTGAGAAAATGCTACAAATCTTTTAGCTTTTAAGAGTATGTATATGGTATAAGAAAGAAATGATGAAGAATATTATGAAAAATTAATTTGTTAGCTCAAAGATCGTTAAGTAGCTTAGCTGCAGTTAGTTAATGAATATTATATTTTCATTACTGAATTTTCACCATAGAGGCTTTTATATTTAAAATTATTATCATCCAGCAGTTTATAATTATTAGTTGAAAGTCATAAAATTCATTATTTTTTCGTAATTAACAATTAATAACAGTAATAATAATAATAATAATAATAATAATAATAATAATAATAACAGTAATAATAACAATAGTAATAATAATAATAATGGTAATAATAATAATAATAATAATAATAATAATAATAATAATAATAATAATAATAATAATAATAATAATAATAATAATAATAATAATAATAATCACGGGTTAAATGAATTTGTAATGGATTTAAATTATTGCTGCATGAGTTCTTCGCTTTCGTTATTTCGAAATTTCATCATTAAATAATGTTTATTGCAAATTTCGTTGAGCAGCAAGAAAAAAAGTAATCTTTATTTTTAAATTTAAAATGAAAGTCCTGTTGGTTTCTTTAATTGAACGATGAAATCAGATCTACCTAAGCTCATAGATCTGGAAAGAATTTCAGATCTGAAATATTGATAAAAGTAAATGAAATTCTTAAAATTAATTCAAGGTTTGCATAATTTAGCTATTAATGTTTACATCATCCAGTTGCTTTGTTCAGAGTGGAAAATATTGCGAAATTTGTGTCTTTTGAAATTTGTTTATTTAAACAATAAAAGGATGTCGTCAATCAGGCCAAAACTGGGTGAGCAATGCTTGTTTGAAAGCACATTGAAAGTTAAAAGGGACACACATGGCTAACCTTGTTGAGAAGACGATGATAATGAGGATGAAGTGCTGAAATTATCCCCTTTGTCAATTATTGATGCCCATCCAAATTTCATTTCAAGCTGCTGCTGGTCAATCGCTATATGCTAATTAACTTAGTATACTGTAGCTCTCCTATTACTGTTCTATGAGCATGCAATGCATGCAACATCGCTAAAAATTGCTGCTGGTTACTGCCACCTTAGAGATTAGCTGTTGTGAAAATTGATTGGTTATAAATAGATACATCTGTACAAATATCTAATTGCTATGTAATTACGCAAATGATTTGTGTGGACATGTGCGGCATTATGCATCGATCAGCGCAAATATGCTTTTGTCATGTAAAGGAAATCCTATCTTACCAATAAGTCTCGATCTTTGGTCTGATCTTTTCTCGACTTCATGCACTTCTTATCATCCAGTAGCTTTGAAAAAAATGTATGCTTAATGTTATAAAGTTTTTTCCTTTTTTGCTAAGGTTTATTGACAATAATTTCAATAAAGTAAGTGGTGAAATGGAACTTATAGTCTTAGGCCACTAGAAGTAAAAGAGTGTTCCGGAAGAGTTTTTTCATTGATAAAGAGATTTAGTTGGCTTTAACTTGTTAAATATTCTAGTATTCC